CGCCGCTTCTTTTTAGTAATAATAATAATAATAATATCTACCCACCCCCATGCGGACGCTTAAGCACTGCCGAACTTTCGCCTTGAGCTCTGCCCCTCTGAAGTCATCCTCCTCGGCCCTCATCAGATGCGTGTTGCGGAGGCTGAAGGTGATGGGGTAAATGTTGGATATTGACATGTTTTTCTGCAGACAGTACTGTGGTGGCACCTTTTAAAGTTTCCAACACTGCCGCAATCTCAGCCATTATATGCCAGTGTTCGTCTCGCATCTCGAGGGTTCTGGCATCTTGCATTTTTGTTGTCATTCTGTCAGACAGACCCGCTGTAATAGCCCCCCTCTGTTCAAGAAGCCTCCCGCACATGTCACACAGCGAGGTCCATCGTGTCCTGCATGCCTGGATGAGCTGCTGTTTGACAGTTGCATTTGCTCCTGTTTTGCTTCCTTGTATGGTTGAAATGTCTGACAAGCCGCCCAGCTGCAGCGATGACGTGATGCACACACATGTTGAATCCATCATTTACAGCGAGCTGCAGTGTATGCGCAGAACAGGGCGCTGAGCCACAGTTCACTCGCCCTGGAGAGTTTCCGCCACGATGTTCTGTGCATTGTCATGAACACATGCAGACACTTTACCATGCAGAGCCCAGGTCTCCACTGCATCCCCTGATTTAGCTGTCAGGTCCTCCGCCGTGTGTCTGTTCACCATACTCTGTTAATGGAGGAGCTGAATTAACTTGATGTAGTGACGAGTGACTGCTGTATAGCGTTCAGCTGTGAGGGCGGTCCAGCAGGCAGTCGTGAGGGCCTCAAACTTTGTGCGGCTGAGTTGTGTTTTAAGCGACTTGTTTCTCTCCTCCAAACAGGTCTCGATTCTGCGGGTAATAGTAGCTCTTGAGGGAATATCGTAATTGGGTTCAATATATCTCAGCAGCTCTTGAAGACCTTCACCACATACGACACTGACAGGCAAAATGTCTTTTACTATCATTAAGCATATTCTCTGAGTTATCTCCTCAGATCTCCGTGCATGGAGGGCAGCATTCGTTGTCCTTCATCACAGAATGCATGTGGATGTGTGATATTGCATTGTACTTGTACTACTGCTGTATTTTAATACCGCGTTGCATATTTTGCAAGTAACTTCGTCTGCCTTTCTGTCATAATGGTCCCAAGCGGTACTTCTTTTTGCTCTCTTCATTTTGCTTCTGTGAAAACACGCGACCTCTGTAATCATGCGTGATTGCAAGTGTAAAGGACCGTGTGTTCTTAACAAATATGTGTCGTATATTTATTCATGTAATGTGTGTTTATATAGCGCATTTACTGTGTATGGTCATACACCAAAGCACTTCACAATAATGATGGGGGGGGGGGTCTCCACACCACACCACCACCAGTGTGCAGCTCCACTTGGATGATGCTCTGGCAGCCACAGGACAACGGCACCAGTGCTTCACCACACACCAGCTATTGGTGGAGTGGAGAGACAGTGATGGAGCCAATTCAGTGGAAGGGGATGATTGGGAGGCCATGATCGTAAGGGCCGATAGAGGGACTTTGGCCAGGACACCGGGCTTACACCTCTGCTCTTTCACGAGAAGTGCCATGGGGTTATTAATGAGCACAGAGAGTCAGGACCTCGGTTTAACGTCTCATCTGAAAGACGGCGCCCACTGACAGTGTAGAGTCCCCTTCACTATACTGGGGCATTAGGACTCACACAGACCACAGGCTGAGCGCCCCCTGCTGGCCTCACTAACACCACTGCCAACAGCAACCTAGTGTTCCCATGTGCTCTCCCATCCAGACACTGACCAGCCTCAGCCCTGCTCAGCTTCAGTGAGTAACCGCTCTTGGGCTGCAGGGTGATGTGACTGTGGTATTTATTATTTTAAAATGCATAAGGATATAACAATACTACTAATAACTTTAATGTTATTATTAAGTGACAATATAATAATGATAATAATGATTTTAAAGTGTTGAACTGAGAACATTTATCAGTCAAAAGTGCACCCTTTCGCTTAACAGTTAACGGTCAATGTGAGCATGCCTGCACTGATCACATGATGTACTGGAGCGTTCAGGACAGAGGGATGTTCTGCTCTCAGCACACTGCAGCTGTTTCTGTGGCCTGTGAGAACTTGTACTTTTCCAGCAGTGGACACTGAGCTGATGATTGACTATAAAGCTTGGCATGCTGTCCCGGGAGAGAGCCCTGAGCTCAGAAGATCCTGGAGTCTGGGGCTCCCTCCCGTTTGCAGGGCGCCAGGGGAGTTTGAGCTCGGGTAGATCTCGATGAACTCCCTGTGGCTTATTTCCAGCTAAAGTATGGATATGGATGACTGAGGAGAGGGGAACTCGCTAAGAGCTGATATGGTATCCATATGGACATGGTGTTATTTGGACAGTGGAAGGAAAAACACACACGAGCACGGGGAGAACAAGCAAAACTCCACACAGAAATGGCATCTGGTTTAGTAGAGACTCTAACCATACACATTCTTGCTGTGAGGCAACAGTGCTAACCACTGGGCTGATAGGTCGCCCATCTGGAAAGGAGGGGAGGTAGGGCTGGGTTCTGATTGGATCATGAGCTGATTCTGGAACAGCTGAGAACAGTCATGAGCACGTGATCTTGGAAATTAGTTTAGAAATCAACTCAGACTAGTGTTTTAAAGCTGTATTTGTCTTTGACTGGAGTAGGATTGGCCTGAAGTGTTTACATCATCTCCATTACTGAGCAGACAATAAACACACACAGTGATGCAACAGAACCAGAACATGGAGCCCGAGAACCACATCAGCGCCGCAGCAGAGAGAGAAGAGTGCTCCGCGGGTGAACAGTCTCTTCACTGCTGCTGGAGTTTACAGAGTTTATCAGCACATGCCTGTCGAGCCAGCGATGAAGAGCAGGAGAGCTGCTGTGAACGCCTCATTATTCATGCAGACGTGCCGGAGCCTCAGCTGCAGTGTGGAACTTGATGATGCAGAAATAACATGTGGAGAGTTTGGAGAACTCATATAAACACTCCTTAATTTATTCATGTGATGTTAGCAGTTTATGCACTATACACCTCGTCACACACACGTGTGCACTGCAGTCACTGTAGCCTGACATGATGGTACACCGCACACTACTGTGGAAGAACTAATGCTGAGGTCTGAGTATCTTCTGCACCAAGACCTGCGCTATCTTCACCACATGCCGTGTCCTGCAGCACGATGGAGACCGCTATAATATTTATACAAGATGGTCAGAATGATGTTTATGCATGATGTCTTGCACTATATGTTGCATTTTAATAGTTTAAGCTCATTTGTTCGACTATATATTAGTGGATATTAGTACCCTTCACTGTAGTAAGTCCCCATCCCCAGCAGTGATGAAGGTTAGTACACAGTCAGAGCCATACATGTACAGCTATATATATATATATATATTTGACTTATTTGACAGTGAGTTACTGTCTGGCAACCCAGAGTTATTAAGGAAACGTTACAAGCTGAAGTCAGAATTATTACACCACCTGAAAACTGATCTCTAATAACTGATTTATTTCCTCTTCTTCATGATGACAGTGAATAATATTAGACTAGATATTCTTCAAGACACTTCTATACAGCTTACAGTGACATGTAAAGGCTTCACTAGGGTAATTAGGGAAACTAGGCAGGTTAGGGTAATTAGGCAGGTTATTGTAAGAAAGAGGCCACACTAAATCTTGGGGTGGCACACAAAAAATACTGTATTCAGTGTTATATATTTCCAGCTATAGTGTTTATATATATATTTATAGTCCTCGAGTATCAGTCCTGGACTATATATATATATATGTATGTATATATGTGTGTGTCCGCGTGTTTGTGTATATATAATGTATGTTATATTTTTGTTTCTGGTAAATGAAATAATGTAGTTTTAATTCATTTAATTAATTACTCTAGAAAGATTGAAATTTATTCCTTGAAATCAGCAAGTACATGTGCAAACCAAATAAAAATCCACATTTAGTTTAAAACACCTTTCATTTTTATATTGACCCCACACTGGCCATCCTCGCTGCTCTGTCCATATCGAGAGTTCTACACTGTGCTCTCCTCTCCTGTTTGAGCACTGCTTATCCAGATTTACTGATCCTGAAAAGCTCCTATCCGGATCAGATTGATCCAGTTTAATGTTGTTTTGAAAAACTGGCTCCAAAAGTAAGCTGGATTACGCGATCCCGGACCACAACAACAGGATTACTAAATCCGGATTAAACCTTTTAAAAACCGAGCCCTTACAATGATTTAAGTGTATATTTTATTGTTTTTGGTCTTTAATTTTTAAAGTTGCTTACACAAATAAGAGGAACTAAATGGAGATGAATATCGCCTGTGTGTCCCGCTGGAGAAACAGCGACTCTACTCATCATGAGCGCATTATGATGAGCTGTTGTTTACTCGCGCTTCAGCAGATGAGCAGACCTTTACTGTTACTCCAGCACAGTTACAGGACTCCAGCAGCAGATGTTATTCCCGCAGCTGCTGCTGCTGCGTCTGCTCTACAGATGAAGATGCTGTCAACATTCACAAATGCAGGATCAGCTCAAACTCCAGCGGCGTGTCCTGCTGACGACGCGCTCTCCGTCACTTCCGGTGTTTGAGCACGTGTGTTACGCTCGGCAACATGGCGGAGCAGCGACAAGCGGCGGAGGAGAAGAACACAAACACACACACACCGGCGGACATGGAGGAGACAAACACACACACACCGGCGGACACGGAGGAGACAAACACAAACACACACACCGAGGAGACACTCATCGAGGAGACGGAGACAACCGGGGAGATACACACGAGCTTCAAAGAACTGGTGAGACACACACACACACCAGATACATTAATAGAGATGTACAAGCAAACACACACACACACACACACACACACACACACACACTCACACGTGAGTTTTAGTTTTAGAGAGCATCTGTGTCTGATTTACGTGTGTGTACTTCTCCATCTGGTGTGTGTGTGTGTGTGTCTGTCTGTCTGTCTGTTGGGTGTGTGTGTGTGTGTGTTTGTTTATGTATCTGATGTGTGTGTGTGTGTGTGTGTGTGTGTGTAGGGTGTCACTGAGGTCCTCTGTGAAGCTTGTGATCAGCTTGGATGGAAGAAACCGACCAAGATCCAGATCGAGGCCATTCCTGTTGCTCTGCAAGGTGAACACACACACACACACACACACACACACACACACACACACACACACACACACACACACACACACACACTCACTCTCTCTCTCTCTCTCTCTCTCTCTCTCTCTCTCTCTCTCTCTCTCTCTCTCTCTCTCTCTCACACACACACACACACACACACCGCTGGTTTCTGACTGTTTCAGCAGTTGATCATGGTGAATTGAGCTCTGGACAGTGGATGCTCAGAGTGAGATGTAGACGTGTGTGTTCACACACTCTGCTGTACAGCTGCAGCGCACTGTCAGAATGCAGCAGTTCTGCTGGTGATGATGATGATGATGATGATGATGACCCAGGCCTTGTACAGCTCCGTCTGCTCTCCTTCTTTCAGTGTTGAGCTCTACATAGTGTTGAATCCGGTCCTCATGGAGCATTATGTCCTGCACATGACCACACACACACACACACACACACACACACACAACACTGCAGACACACAGAGACTTGCAGACCTTTACCTTCTGTCCTGTAAAGCTCGTGGAGTGTCAGTGAGATGTTGTGTGTTTGGGCTGATGCTCGGCCATTTCCATCTCTAATATCTATTGTGAGGGTGCTGTCACTAATGGAGCTGTCAGATGACGTGTGTGTGTGTGTGTGTGTGTGTGTGTGTGTGTGTGTTTGTTTGTCTTTCTCTCTGTATAATGTGTGTGTGTCTCTCTCTATGGTGTGTGTGTGTGTGTGTGTGTGTGTGTGTGTGTGTGTGTGTGTGTGTGTGTGTGTGTGTGTGTGTGTAGGGCGTGATGTGATCGGTCTGGCAGAGACGGGTTCGGGTAAGACGGGAGCATTCGCAGTGCCGGTGCTGCAGAGTCTGCTGGCGTGTGCGCAGCGTCTACACACACTCGTGCTGACGCCCACACGAGAGCTCGCCTTCCAGATCGCAGAGCAGTTCGACGCACTAGGGTCCAGCATCGGCGTCAAGACCGGTAACACACACACACACACACACACACACACACACACACACACACACACACACCTGCCCCTCATCATACACTCACACACACATAATGACACTATAGCCTGCGCCGCTGCAAACACGTGTGTGTGTGTGTGTGTGTGTTTTAGGTGGACAAAATACTGAAGGTGATCCCGCGTGACAGACGCACATTCCTGTTCTCAGCCACCATGACAAAGAAGGTATGATGTGTGTGTGTGTGTGTGTGTGTGTGTGTGTGTGTGTGATAAATAAACTTACTTTATTAGGTACACCTGTCCAACCGCTCATTACTACAAATGTCTAATCAGCCAATCACAGGGCAGCAGCTCATGCATTTCAGCATGTAGACATGGTCAGAGGATCTGCTGCAGGTCAGAGCGAGCATCAGAATGGGGAAGACAGGGCAGTTAAGGGAAAAGTTTGTTCTGAGTATTTCAGAAACTGCTTATCTACTTCCAGCAGGATAACGCAGCATGTCATAAAGCTCAATCATCTCAGACTGGTGTCTTGAACATGACGATGAGTTCACTGTACTCAAATGGCCTCCACAGTCACCAGAGCTCAATCCAATAGAGCAGCTTTGGGATGTGGTGGAACGGGAGATTGGCATCATGGATGTGCAGCCGACAAATCTGCAGCAACTGTGTGATGCTATCATGACAACATGGAGCAAAATCTCTGAGGAATATTTCCAGCAGCTTGATGAATCTCTGCCACGAAGGATTAAAGCAGATCTGAAGGTGAAAGAGGTCCGACCCGGTACTAGTGAGGTGTACCTAATAAAGTGGCCGCTGAGTGTAAATAACACACCATGGGTGTGTAATAAATGTATGATTCATGTAGTGTGTGTGTGATAAATATTTAACACATGTAGTGTGTGTGTGTGTGTGTGTGTTTAGGTGCAGAAGCTCCAGCGTGCAGCTCTGCAGGACCCAGTGAAATGCTCCGTCTCCAGCAAATACGCCACAGTGGACAAACTGCAGCAGTTCTACATCTTCATCCCCTCCAAATATAAGGTCCGTCTGTCTCTCTCTCTGCGCACAGGACGTGTGTGTGTGTGTGTGTGTGTATCCTCTCCTCTCCTCCAGTACTCAGTGTGTGTGTGTCTGTGTGTGCAGGACTGTTATCTGGTCTCCATCCTGAACGAGCTGGCGGGAAACTCCTTCATGGTGTTCTGCGGCACCTGCAACAACACCCAGCGTGTGGCGCTGCTGCTGCGCAACCTGGGCATCACCGCCATCCCTCTGCACGGCCAGATGAGCCAGGTACACCAGCACACCTGTGGAGGCATCACCGCTGACCTGTGCATGTGTGTGCGTTCAGCTGATCTGTGTGTGTGTGTGTGTGTGTGTGTGTGTGTGTGTGTGTGTGTGTGTGTGTGTGTGTGTGTGTGTGTGTGTGTGTGTGTGTGTGCGCGTGCAGAACAAGCGTCTCGGTGCCCTCAACAAGTTTAAGTCGAAGTCCCGCTCGGTGCTGCTGGCAACGGATGTTGCGTCACGAGGACTCGACATCCCACACGTGGACTGCGTCATCAACTTCGACATTCCCACACACTCCAAGGTACAGCTCATATAACCGCTGGTGTCACGTCTGTGTGCTGTTATAACTGCTGGAGTCACGTCTGTGTGCTGTTATAACTGCTGGTGTCACGTCTGTGTGCTGTTATAACCGCTGGAGTCATGTCTGTGTGCTGTTATAACTGCTGGAGTCATGTCTGTGTGCTGTTATAACCGCTGGTGTCACGTCTGTGTGCTGTTATAACTGCTGGAGTCATGTCTGTGTGCTGTTATAACTGCTGGAGTCATGTCTGTGTGCTGTTATAACCACTGGAGTCGCGTCTGTGTGCTGTTATAACCGCTGGAGTCGCGTCTGTGTGCTGTTATAACTGCTGGAGTCGCGTCTGTGTGCTGTTATAACCACTGGAGTCGCGTCTGTGTGCTGTTATAACTGCTGGAGTCGCGTCTGTGTGCTGTTATAACTGCTGGAGTCATGTCTGTGTGCTGTTATAACTGCTGGAGTCATGTCTGTGTGCTGTTATAACCACTGGAGTCGCGTCTGTGTGCTGTTATAACCACTGGAGTCGCGTCTGTGTGCTGTTATAACTGCTGGAGTCGCGTCTGTGTGCTGTTATAACTGCTGGAGTCATGTCTGTGTGCTGTTATAACCGCTGGAGTCGCGTCTGTGTGCTGTTATAACCACTGGAGTCACGTCTGTGTGCTGTTATAACTGCTGGAGTCGCGTCTGTGTGCTGTTATAACTGCTGGAGTCATGTCTGTGTGCTGTTATAACTGCTGGAGTCGCGTCTGTGTGCTGTTATAACTGCTGGTGTCACGTCTGTGTGCTGTTATAACTGCTGAAGTCGCGTCTGTGTGCTGTTATAACTGCTGGAGTCGCGTCTGTGTGCTGTTATAACTGCTGGAGTCGCGTCTGTGTGCTGTTATAACCACTGGAGTCGCGTCTGTGTGCTGTTATAACTGCTGGTGTCACGTCTGTGTGCTGTTATAACTGCTGAAGTCGCGTCTGTGTGCTGTTATAACTGCTGGAGTGGCGTCTGTATGCTGTTATAACTGCTGGAGTCGCGTCTGTGTGCTGTTATAACTGCTGGAGTCGCGTCTGTGTGCTGTTATAACTGCTGGAGTCGCGTCTGTGTGCTGTTATAACTGCTGGAGTCGCGTCTGTATGCTGTTATAACTGCTGAAGTCGCGTCTGTGTGCTGTTATAACTGCTGGAGTCGCGTCTGTGTGCTGTTATAACTGCTGGAGTCGCGTCTGTGTGCTGTTATAACTGCTGGAGTCGCGTCTGTGTGCTGTTATAACTGCTGGAGTCGCGTCTGTGTGCTGTTATAACTGCTGGAGTGGCGTCTGTGTGCTGTTATAACTGCTGAAGTCGCGTCTGTGTGCTGTTATAACTGCTGGAGTGGCGTCTGTATGCTGTTATAACTGCTGGAGTCATGTCTGTATGCTGTTATAACTGCTGGAGTCGCGTCTGTGTGCTGTTATAACTGCTGGAGTCATGTCTGTGTGCTGTTATAACTGCTGGAGTCGCGTCTGTGTGCTGTTATAACTGCTGGAGTCATGTCTGTGTGCTGTTATAACTGCTGGAGTCGCGTCTGTGTGCTGTTATAACTGCTGGAGTCGCGTCTGTGTGCTGTTATAACTGCTGGAGTCATGTCTGTGTGCTGTTATAACTGCTGGAGTCGCGTCTGTGTGCTGTTATAACTGCTGGAGTCGCGTCTGTGTGCTGTTATAACTGCTGGAGTCGCGTCTGTGTGCTGTTATAACTGCTGGAGTCATGTGTGTGTGCTGTTATAACTGCTGGAGTCGTGTGTGTGTGCTGTTATAACTGCTGGAGTCATGTGTGTGTGCTGTTATAACTGCTGGAGTCATGTGTGTGTGCTGTTATAACTGCTGGAGTGGCGTCTGTGTGCTGTTATAACTGCTGGAGTCATGTGTGTGTGCTGTTATAACTGCTGGAGTCGCGTCTGTGTGCTGTTATAACTGCTGGAGTCGCGTCTGTGTGCTGTTATAACTGCTGGAGTCGCGTCTGTGTGCTGTTATAACTGCTGGAGTCGCGTCTGTGTGCTGTTATAACTGCTGGAGTGGCGTCTGTGTGCTGTTATAACTGCTGGAGTCGCGTCTGTGTGCTGTTATAACTGCTGGAGTCGCGTCTGTGTGCTGTTATAACTGCTGGAGTCATGTCTGTGTGCTGTTATAACTGCTGGAGTCATGTCTGTGTGCTGTTATAACTGCTGGAGTGGCGTCTGTGTGCTGTTATAACTGCTGGAGTCATGTCTGTGTGCTGTTATAACTGCTGGAGTCATGTCTGTGTGCTGTTATAACCGCTGGAGTCGCGTCTGTGTGCTGTTATAACTGCTGGAGTGGCGTCTGTGTGCTGTTATAACTGCTGGAGTGGCGTCTGTGTGCTGTTATAACTGCTGGAGTCGCGTCTGTGTGCTGTTATAACTGCTGGAGTCGCGTCTGTGTGCTGTTATAACTGCTGGAGTCATGTCTGTGTGCTGTTATAACTGCTGGAGTCATGTCTGTGTGCTGTTATAACTGCTGGAGTCATGTCTGTGTGCTGTTATAACTGCTGGAGTGGCGTCTGTGTGCTGTTATAACTGCTGGAGTGGCGTCTGTGTGCTGTTATAACTGCTGGAGTCATGTCTGTGTGCTGTTATAACTGCTGGAGTCATGTCTGTGTGCTGTTATAACCGCTGGAGTCGCGTCTGTGTGCTGTTATAACCACTGGAGTGGCGTCTGTGTGCTGTTATAACTGCTGGAGTGGCGTCTGTGTGCTGTTATAACTGCTGGAGTGGCGTCTGTGTGCTGTTATAACTGCTGGAGTGGCGTCTGTGTGCTGTTATAACTGCTGGAGTCGCGTCTGTGTGCTGTTATAACTGCTGGAGTCGCGTCTGTGTGCTGTTATAACTGCTGGAGTCGCGTCTGTGTGCTGTTATAACTGCTGGAGTGGCGTCTGTGTGCTGTTATAACTGCTGGAGTGGCGTCTGTGTGCTGTTATAACTGCTGGAGTCGCGTCTGTGTGCTGTTATAACTGCTGGAGTCATGTCTGTGTGCTGTTATAACTGCTGGAGTCGCGTCTGTGTGCTGTTATAACTGCTGGAGTCACGTCTGTGTGCTGTTATAACTGCTGGAGTGGCGTCTGTGTGCTGTTATAACTGCTGGAGTCATGTCTGTGTGCTGTTATAACTGCTGGAGTGGCGTCTGTGTGCTGTTATAACTGCTGGAGTCATGTCTGTGTGCTGTTATAACTGCTGGAATCATGTCTGTGTGCTGTTATAACTGCTGGAGTCATGTCTGTGTGCTGTTATAACTGCTGGAGTCATGTCTGTGTGCTGTTATAACCACTGGAGTCGCGTCTGTGTGCTGTTATAACCGCTGGAGTCGCGTCTGTGTGCTGTTATAACTGCTGGAGTCGCGTCTGTGTGCTGTTATAACCACTGGAGTCGCGTCTGTGTGCTGTTATAACCGCTGGAGTCGCGTCTGTGTGCTGTTATAACTGCTGGAGTCACGTCTGTGTGCTGTTATAACTGCTGGAGTCATGTCTGTGTGCTGTTATAACCGCTGGAGTCGCGTCTGTGTGCTGTTATAACTGCTGGAGTCGCGTCTGTGTGCTGTTATAACTGCTGGAGTCGCGTCTGTGTGCTGTTATAACTGCTGGAGTCGCGTCTGTGTGCTGTTATAACTGCTGGAGTCGCGTCTGTGTGCTGTTATAACTGCTGGAGTCACGTCTGTGTGCTGTTATAACTGCTGGAGTCGCGTCTGTGTGCTGTTATAACTGCTGGAGTCACGTCTGTGTGCTGTTATAACTGCTGGAGTCGCGTCTGTGTGCTGTTATAACTGCTGGAGTCGCGTCTGTGTGCTGTTATAACTGCTGGAGTCGCGTCTGTGTGCTGTTATAACTGCTGGAGTCGCGTCTGTGTGCTGTTATAACTGCTGGAGTCGCGTCTGTGTGCTGTTATAACTGCTGGAGTCGCGTCTGTGTGCTGTTATAACTGCTGGAGTCGCGTCTGTGTGCTGTTATAACTGCTGGAGTCGCGTCTGTGTGCTGTTATAACTGCTGGAGTCGCGTCTGTGTGCTGTTATAACTGCTGGAGTCGCGTCTGTGTGCTGTTATAACTGCTGGAGTCGCGTCTGTGTGCTGTTATAACTGCTGGAGTCGCGTCTGTGTGCTGTTATAACTGCTGGAGTGGCGTCTGTGTGCTGTTATAACTGCTGGAGTCATGTGTGTGTGCTGTTATAACTGCTGGAGTCGCGTCTGTGTGCTGTTATAACTGCTGGAGTCGCGTCTGTGTGCTGTTATAACTGCTGGAGTCGCGTCTGTGTGCTGTTATAACTGCTGGAGTCGCGTCTGTGTGCTGTTATAACTGCTGGAGTGGCGTCTGTGTGCTGTTATAACTGCTGGAGTCGCGTCTGTGTGCTGTTATAACTGCTGGAGTCGCGTCTGTGTGCTGTTATAACTGCTGGAGTCATGTCTGTGTGCTGTTATAACTGCTGGAGTCATGTCTGTGTGCTGTTATAACTGCTGGAGTGGCGTCTGTGTGCTGTTATAACTGCTGGAGTCGCGTCTGTGTGCTGTTATAACTGCTGGAGTCGCGTCTGTGTGCTGTTATAACTGCTGGAGTCGCGTCTGTGTGCTGTTATAACTGCTGGAGTCGCGTCTGTGTGCTGTTATAACTGCTGGAGTCGCGTCTGTGTGCTGTTATAACTGCTGGAGTCACGTCTGTGTGCTGTTATAACTGCTGGAGTCGCGTCTGTGTGCTGTTATAACTGCTGGAGTCGCGTCTGTGTGCTGTTATAACTGCTGGAGTCGCGTCTGTGTGCTGTTATAACTGCTGGAGTCGCGTCTGTGTGCTGTTATAACTGCTGGAGTCGCGTCTGTGTGCTGTTATAACTGCTGGAGTCGCGTCTGTGTGCTGTTATAACTGCTGGAGTCGCGTCTGTGTGCTGTTATAACTGCTGGAGTCGCGTCTGTGTGCTGTTATAACTGCTGGAGTCGCGTCTGTGTGCTGTTATAACTGCTGGAGTCGCGTCTGTATGCTGTTATAACTGCTGGAGTCGCGTCTGTGTGCTGTTATAACTGCTGGAGTGGCGTCTGTATGCTGTTATAACTGCTGGAGTCATGTCTGTATGCTGTTATAACTGCTGGAGTCGCGTCTGTGTGCTGTTATAACTGCTGGAGTCATGTCTGTGTGCTGTTATAACTGCTGGAGTCATGTCTGTGTGCTGTTATAACTGCTGGAGTCATGTCTGTGTGCTGTTATAACTGCTGGAGTCGCGTCTGTGTGCTGTTATAACTGCTGGAGTCGCGTCTGTGTGCTGTTATAACTGCTGGAGTGATGTCTGTGTGCTGTTATAACTGCTGGAGTCGCGTCTGTGTGCTGTTATAACTGCTGGAGTCGCGTCTGTGTGCTGTTATAACTGCTGGAGTCGCGTCTGTGTGCTGTTATAACTGCTGGAGTCATGTCTGTGTGCTGTTATAACTGCTGGAGTCGTGTCTGTGTGCTGTTATAACTGCTGGAGTCATGTCTGTGTGCTGTTATAACTGCTGGAGTCATGTCTGTGTGCTGTTATAACTGCTGGAGTGGCGTCTGTGTGCTGTTATAACTGCTGGAGTCATGTCTGTGTGCTGTTATAACTGCTGGAGTCGCGTCTGTGTGCTGTTATAACTGCTGGAGTCGCGTCTGTGTGCTGTTATAACTGCTGGAGTCGCGTCTGTGTGCTGTTATAACTGCTGGAGTCGCGTCTGTGTGCTGTTATAACTGCTGGAGTGGCGTCTGTGTGCTGTTATAACTGCTGGAGTCACGTCTGTGTGCTGTTATAACTGCTGGAGTCGCGTCTGTGTGCTGTTATAACTGCTGGAGTCATGTCTGTGTGCTGTTATAACTGCTGGAGTCACGTCTGTGTGCTGTTATAACTGCTGGAGTCACGTCTGTGTGCTGTTATAACTGCTGGAGTCATGTCTGTGTGCTGTTATAACTGCTGGAGTCATGTCTGTGTGCTGTTATAACTGCTGGAGTGGCGTCTGTGTGCTGTTATAACCGCTGGAGTCGCGTCTGTGTGCTGTTATAACTGCTGGAGTGGCGTCTGTGTGCTGTTATAACTGCTGGAGTGGCGTCTGTGTGCTGTTATAACTGCTGGAGTGGCGTCTGTGTGCTGTTATAACTGCTGGAGTCGCGTCTGTGTGCTGTTATAACTGCTGGAGTCGCGTCTGTGTGCTGTTATAACTGCTGGAGTCGCGTCTGTGTGCTGTTATAACTGCTGGAGTGGCGTCTGTGTGCTGTTATAACTGCTGGAGTCATGTCTGTGTGCTGTTATAACTGCTGGAGTCATGTCTGTGTGCTGTTATAACTGCTGGAGTCATGTCTGTGTGCTGTTATAACTGCTGGAGTCATGTCTGTGTGCTGTTATAACTGCTGGAGTGGCGTCTGTGTGCTGTTATAACTGCTGGAGTGGCGTCTGTGTGCTGTTATAACTGCTGGAGTGGCGTCTGTGTGCTGTTATAACTGCTGGAGTGGCGTCTGTGTGCTGTTATAACTGCTGGAGTCATGTCTGTGTGCTGTTATAACTGCTGGAGTGGCGTCTGTGTGCTGTTATAACTGCTGGAGTGGCGTCTGTGTGCTGTTATAACTGCTGGAGTGGCGTCTGTGTGCTGTTATAACTGCTGGAGTGGCGTCTGTGTGCTGTTATAACTGCTGGAGTCATGTCTGTGTGCTGTTATAACTGCTGGAGTCATGTCTGTGTGCTGTTATAACTGCTGGAGTCGCGTCTGTGTGCTGTTATAACTGCTGGAGTGGCGTCTGTGTGCTGTTATAACTGCTGGAGTCATGTCTGTGTGCTGTTATAACTGCTGGAGTGGCGTCTGTGTGCTGTTATAACTGCTGGAGTCATGTCTGTGTGCTGTTATAACTGCTGGAGTGGCGTCTGTGTGCTGTTATAACTGCTGGAGTCGCGTCTGTGTGCTGTTATAACTGCTGGAGTGGCGTCTGTGTGCTGTTATAACTGCTGGAGTCGCGTCTGTGTGCTGTTATAACTGCTGGAGTGGCGTCTGTGTGCTGTTATAACTGCTGGAGTCTGTTCTCTGCAGGATTATATCCACCGTGTGGGCCGCACCGCCAGAGCAGGGAGGTCTGGGAAGTCCATCACGTTCGTCACACAGTCAGTGTCTCTGTGTTTATTCTCTGATGTCGCCCCCTTGTGGAGCAGCACAGACTGGAATATTTCTCCACCTGTTTGTGTTGATCCCCATCTCAGAGCTGCTGTGCGTGTGTGTGTGTGTGCGTGCGTGCGTGCGTGCGTGCGTGCGTGTGTGTGTGTGCGTGCGTGTATGTGTGTGTGCAGGTATGATGTGGAGCTCTTCCAGCGGATTGAAGCGCTGATTGGCAAGAAACTTCCTGCTTTCCCGACACAGGAAGAGGAAGTGATGATGCTGGTGGAGCGAGTGAGCGAAGCGCAGCGGTTCGCACGGATAGTACGTACACAACCTGTGTGTGTTGTGCTGGTGTGTGTGTGTTCTGCTCATTCATGTTGTGCTGATGTGCGTGTGTGTGTGTGTGTGTGTGTGTTTGTGTTCAGGAAATGAAGGAGAGCTCTGAGAAGAGGAAGCGGCCGAGTGCAGCACAGGAAGTGGATGAAGACGGTGAGCAGTCGAGTGGCGTGAGGAAGAAGGTGAAGGGTGGAGGGTTTAGACGGCCCTCCAGACGTGGACGCTGACCTCTGAGCCCCCTCTGATGACCTCTGACCCCCCCCTCTGATGACCTCTGACCCTCCTCTTCTCATTGTAATAAAGTGCTGCTGTTTTCCTTACGCTGTTTCCTCTGTGTGTGTGTGTGTGTGTGTGTGTGTGTGTGTGTGTGTGTGTGTGTGTGTGTGTGTACTGTAGAGACTCTCTGTGGTCATGTGTTCAGCCCAGATCTCTATCATTACTCGGTATCAGAGTTATAGAGCAGCTATATAGAGTATATAGAGTTATAGAGCAGCTATATAGAGTATATAGAGTTATAGAGCAGCTATATAGAGTATATAGAGTTATCGGTTGGTGAGGTGTTCCTCAATAGTGTAGACTGTAGAGCCGCTGCTTCAGCTGTGTGTTTATAGGGAAATAACAGCACATCTTCAGTCTGGATCAGCCAATCAGAGTCCAGCATGATCCGTCTCTGGTCTGTAGTTGAGGAGAGCTTCAGTCGGACACCGGCAGAGTTCAGCTGTAGCTTCTGCTTTCATTTCAACCTGTCCGTCAGCCTCCTGCCTCAACACTGATTGGTCCTCTTCACCGGTGAGGGCGGGACTCAAAGGTTCACTGGGTTTGTATGAGTTTGGACTAAACCATTGTGATAGGGGTGCACAGAGCAGAGCTGCAGTACTCATTTCCTCATCCCGAGTGTGTCTGTGCTCTTCTTTAAATCTGACACACACCTGATGGAGACAGCAGCAGTGCCAGAACAGGGGTCTATTCCTGCCGGGTTCTGTGGGCCCCTGGCCAGTGGAGGCCCCTGTGATCATCAGCAGTGATCTGACTGAAACACCGTGGCGGCTGCAGCTCCCGACACTAGCCTACAGCAGAGTCCTGTTATTCTACAGTCGTCTGGTTTCCCAGCATGCCCAGTGTGTGAAGAGGAGCTCCTGAAGTGTAAACCCAGACTGAGATGTGTGTGACGCTACAGTAAACTCTGGTAGAGGGCATTTATAGACCTGATCTGAGTTAAAGCTCAGTCAGTGAGTACTGTACCTGTCAGAACTCCATCATCAGTCAGTCGTGATGCGGATTGAGGAGCTTTATCTGTGGTAATCCTCCTTATATAATGAGAGTTTCTGTAGATGACTGGAGTCGGTGATGAGGGAATGGGTTACCCGGCAGAGAGGGTGATGTGAGGGGGATGACCCAGCTCCTGCAGCGCTGAGCTCTATATCTACAGTTATCAACAGGACTGAATGCTTTAAGTCATCATCATTTGTGTTGTGCGTCTCGTCATGTTGAGTTATTAATCATGATTCAGACTTGTTCATCTGCTCTTTTAGATTGAGTCGCTCATGATCGGGTCATTAAAGGCTGCTCTGTTCTCTGTAGTTTTATCAGAGCTGTATTGCCGGTCTGTACTCGAGGATGCTGTTTGTATGTTTGTGATTTATTCCCTCACTATGATCAGCCTCTCTGCATGTGTCTCCTGTCTGTATATTAAAGCATTACCTCCAGATGCACACTGAACTGTTCTTATTAGCATATTACTGTGCGTGATGACGTCATGGCGGAATCGCAGCTCAAAACTCATCATGATGCAGTGTACAATATAATGAATGTTTTCTCAGATTGACTGGCCGTCTCAGCTCAAACATCATCTGAAACATGTCCATTTATATTTGTATGAAATTTTAGCGGACTATTTGTAAGAGTAAGACAAACACTTTTCTAAAATGTGTTTATTTGTATATAACTTATATAACTTGTGAAATGAACACGCTTGTGAAAGTGACGACAGTGCTGCACTATTGCAATGTGTTGCTTCCTAAATGACCAACAATTATACAGGTTAACAAATATCAGTAAACGAACAGTTATGAAAGCAATCTGAGCTAGTGATTCACTCCACTCTCGGAAATCAAGGCTTGGAGCTGTCTCTGGGCCAGTACCTGTGTAAAAGGTTCATATTTGTACATAAAGGGTCATAATGGCACCTCAAAGGTACTTTTTAATTACATCCGGGCACTGATATGCACTTTTGAGGTGCCACTGAGGACTTTTGGGTACAAACCTGAATCTTTTATAACGGTACAGCCCCAGTGACTGCTCCTGTGCCTTTATTTCTGAGAGTGCACCGAGTGAAGCTGCAGCCGCTGCTCTGAGAGACACTTTTAAAAAATTGCTAAAAGTGGCCAAATGAATGTTAAAAACTGCTAAATCTGTTGCTAGCTGCTGTTTGATAAAAATAAGTGGCTAAATCTAGCAAACAATTGCTTTGTTAGCAACATTGGTTGTACGAGCCGCGCGTTCTTGTCTTTGTAGCGAGCGAGCGCGCCCCCGAGGAGGCTCTGTTTGCGCGTGCTCGCTGTTCCGCTCTCAGCGCTTCAGTCCGGCTGGTTTCTGTTTCGGTTTGCGGGACCGGAACTGCATGTCGCTACTCTGCGTGCACGGTAAGTGTTTATAAGTCACACACGATCTGTTATTTTGACAGTATACATCATCATATACTCGAGAACTGTGTGTGGGCACTCTTTAAAGAAACGGTTCTATATAGAACCAAAAATGGTTCTATCAAGCGCTTCATATATGGAACCCCAAAAAGGTTCTAAATAGAACCATTTTAAGGGTTCATTAAATAGAACCCCAAATGGTTCTTTGAATTCAAGTTACATGGTTCTATTTACAACTATTTGAAGGTTCTTTATTTATTATTGAATTAATGTTATTTATTATTGAATACAAAATAAAACCAATGCAGAAAATTCAAATTGTTTAAATTTATTCAATTTACTTCACAAAATAAGTTTTAAATAATATTTAAAATTGCACCTCTGCGTAATTGTATAAGATCTACCTCTAAACATTATACCTTTTTACTATTTAATTAGTAAACATAATTAACAGCTTAATGGCATTCAACAATCTAATTTTAATGATTTTACTTTTTAATAAACATTTGTAAGCTTGTTTACTGATTGAACAAATACAAAACTTAACTTTCATACATCTCTAAAATCATGAAAAATGTATTACAATGCAGACAGAAACAATACTCAAACATCTATTAAATAACACTACAATTTCAACAAGTTGACGGTACATGTATGTGTTGGTCATGGCAACATTCATTTTTATACATAATTTTCAATAAAGGTTATTGAACAAAGAGCTTAATCGCACACAAAAATTTGCAAAATGATTATACAAAACATTGAGAACAGCCATTCCACAACCTGTAGCATGTCCATGTTTTCCGGCCTCTCTTATAATGTAAATAGTTTTTTCCATGGGTGGCACAGTGGCTCACTGGTTAGAACTGTCACATCACAGCAAGAAGGTCACTGGTTCGAGTTCTGACTGGGTCAGTGGGTGTTTCTGTGTGAAGTTTGCAAGTTCTCCCAGTGTTTGTGTGGGTTTCCTCTGGGTGCTCCAGTTGCCCCCACAGTCCAAAGGCATGCGTACGGTATTGGTGAATTGGCCACAGTGAGTGAATGTGTGCAGGTGTATGAGAGAGTGTATGGGTGTTTCCCAGTGCTGGGTTGCGGCTGGAAAGTGAAGAGTAATTGCTAATTCATTCTACTGTGGTGCCTCTGATAAATGAGGGAGCAGAAGGATAGTGAGCGAGTGTTGGCCATCGTAATGCTGACACTTCAAGCCTTGACGGAATCAGGAGAGCTGTTAGGATCTTTGGATTTCTGTAAAACAATATTTCAATGCTGAGTACTTCCTTCTTTCCTTCCCTTCTATTGGGCCATTTCTTTTAAAGATGTTTCTGTGTCACTTCATTTGTTACAGAATTTAATGAAATTGACAAATCTGAGTGACCTCAATTCAGTATGAACATTAAATAAAACAATAAAATTAGAATAAGAACAAAACAAAATAACTGCATATCAAATAACATACATCATATTTTACAGATACTTTTATCCAAAGGGACGTAGATTGTGTTTAATCTATACATTTATTAATATGTGAGACCTGGAACACATTTGGCATTGCTAATGCATTGCTTTACCAAATGAGCTTTAAAATGTCATATACACAGATTTTTCATATCTATTTGGCACACAATGTAACAGTGTTTGGTTACTCACAAGCTGTGGCACTCCAAGAAGAAGAAACTGCTCTATTAGTTTGGCAGACCCCTCCATAATCTGTACTCTGGAAAATAGTGTTTCATTTGGTTCTTGACTTATTCGTAAACGGTGTCGCATTCTAGGTCCATCACAATCTGAGGTAGGAAGACAGCATTTGTAGAGTGTGTAAATATGAATTTAAATCACAGAATTAATCTTGACATAAAATGTATTGAAATGAACTTTCCTTGTGTTAAGTCCCTCACAGTCCAGTTCACTTCCTTTTGATCCCATTATATGAGCTCACCACTGAAATCCTTTCATTTTTACATTTGTTTTGAAGACATTGCAACAAGGAATCCTGTAGGCAAATTTACACCTTTCAATACATATTTCTTCTCTGCAGGACTTTTTATTAAGCAACGACCTTAATGTTCTCACTGTATTAAAACAGCAGTAGTAAGTAATAGAATATTTTTTTGATATATTTTTTCAGTACACAACAACCAACAAGTCTGAATTATGCATGTTATAAAATACAATACTGTACCAGGTGTGCTTGAAGATGATGTCAAACAATTATGGATGTGACACATGTTTTTCTTTAAGCTGGGATCCTTCTTCTTCAAAGCTACTTGTGTGCAGCAGATCAAAGTTGGAAACTTAATATGGGTCCCATGACACTTTTCTGTAATGATAAATACAATCTTGAAGTCTTTTATAATATTTATTTCATTTTACTGACCACAATACAGTTTGTTTGGATTTTAAAACAATGATACATACCAAGCACAAGTTTTATGAAGCAGTTCAGTTTCCAGGCTGTTTGAAGAAAAATAAAATATACATTAAAATATTAATTTTAAACTTATTTTGCACTATATATATATATATATATATATATATATATATATATATATATATATATATATATATATATATATATATATATATATATATATAAATATATATAAATAATTTCACAATACATTTAGTCTGCATTTTTGTGTCTTTTATAAATAAGACCTGATCTTTCGTCTATGGATTGTTAAAATATGTTTGGCTTTTTAAAGGTTTCAATAATATTCAGGGGCGGACTGGCCATAGGAAGAACTTGCCACCGTGACTGGCCTCCCGCGCGTGCACAGACTCGGGCACGAATCTGCCTGTGCGGGCACGAGAGGTGCACTGCTATCTTACGGTTTTATGCAGACTAGCGGGAACGTCTCAAAAGCTGGCAGTAGTGTCCACTACTTTGCAGAGTTTAGCTCAATCACTGATAAAACACACACGAACCAAGCTAAATGTGAGCGTTTTTTCAAGGTTGGAGGTAAAAACAACACAAAAAAACACGATGAAATCGGCTCATATCAAGTTACTTTTAAAAATAACGTGCACATGCTTCATTCACGCTCTCTCGAAGCTCGCCTTCAAATAACACAGCTGTGTATTGTTATCAGTAATTTAATTAGTAGTACTGACAAACAAGTATAGCGGTATTGTAACTTATTTAGAATAAAAAGCAGAAAAAAATTCAACTTAACAGATTTCTGAACCGAAGGGTGACGACTGAGGTCATCGCAAGCACAGTGTTTATCCATATTAACGCTAAAGTTACCCCCATTCAATCTGTATCACCAAATAACACGAGGGATTTTCTATCAAATAGAAACCTTACTTCATAACACAAAATATTTCACTATATATATTAAATATACTAACATACCTGAATGATGAAGCTGAAATAGTGGACTTCTCCTTTCGAAAAATTAACCTTCACTCTCGAGGCTCTTCACCACCGGTCCATGACGATGTCCTTGTCAATGACTGACGTCACCAGAGGGCTTTTTTAAGATTATTAGTTACAAATAAATTATTAAACCATAACAACATGTTACTGCACAGTCTAAATAAATTGGTCATTTTATTTATTTCACAAAATAATTTGTCAAAAATGTTAAACATTGAGTATATATAAATTAGGCCTATAAGTTATATGCTATTGTACAAACCTGCATAAAAAATCCCATCATAATGTACACTGATTAAGTTTTTGACCACAGCATTCATTTTATCAGGTTTTGACTCAAAAATCTTTGTCTCTCTGTGTTATAGCTTATAATTATTTTATAATCTTTACTACATAATTATGTTATGATCCAAAAATTATAGAACCATTTTAATCAAAAAGGTTCTTTGCAGTCAAAGGGTTCTAAATGGAACCATTTTTTGGGTAAAAGGTTCTACTGGCCAAGTATAGAACCCCAAGGTTCTATATAGAACCTCAAGGAACCTTTTTTTTTAAGAGTGTACTCTCAAACTTACCCATTTATGTCACATAACCTGCTTTCTGGAACAGCCCCCTGATCTGCTTTAGCAGTTCCAGTTCTCCAGAAACCTTCCCTTTCCACAGTCAACTATGAACATGAGGAGACAAGAGAGAGACGCCAGCTCAGCAGAGGATGAGACGCATCCTCATTACTTATGGTTAGTAAAGATTACTTCATTAAACACACACACACACACACACACACACACACACACACACACACACACACACACACACAAACACACACACAAACACACACACACACACACACACACACACACACACACACACACACACACACACACACACACACAAACACAAACACACACACACACACACACACATGTAAATCTGTCATCTATCAGACACTGTGTGGAGTGTGTGTATTTCAGGAGGTTGTGTGTAATGAAGTTTACAACCCTTTGGCCGCCAGGAAGAAGGAGGCGGAGAACCGACGGAGCTTTAAAATGATTTATTAATAACAGTGACGGCAGCTCCTCACAGAGACTGCTGTCTAAACCAAAACAAACGGACAACTGAAAGCAAAAGTAAAATAACATGCCCGGGCCCGGTCCTCTCTCGGCTTCCTCTGCCATCGGTCCTCCTTTTATGGTCCAGAGCTCCTTCCGTGGGATCCGAGGCAGGTGCGCACCGCAGGTGTATCCAGTTACGTGGTGGCCTCACCCCGTTCCCACGGCTCTCGGCCACGCCCCCTCGCCACATAGTGTTATGTTCATTTGCTGTATAACTGAGGACAACTGTTAGCTCTGTTAATGGCAGGTGATTTACAGAACACGCGTACAGCTGAAGATGATGTTGTTGTTGTTGTTGTTGTTGTTGTTGTTGTTGTTGTTGTCCTGCAGCTGCAGCTGTAGGTGATATTGATGTTGTTGTTGTTGTTGATGTTGTTGTTGTTGTCCTGCAGCTGAAGATGATGTTGTTGTTGTTGTTGTTGTTGTTGTTGTCCTGCAGCTGTGGATGGAGAAGAAGGAAGTGTAAGCATCAGTGTTAGCGTCAGGATGAGCAGCTGGAGAATGAACTCAGTCAAGGTAACGTTGACTTCAGTGTGAGATTCTCTGTGACTGTACAGAGTAATGAGGCGCCGTCAGCACACTGATTTGGTGGAAGTGTTTATTAAAGTGTCTAAAAGGAGAACCTACTGTCTTCAAAAACTATCAAACTAAATGAAACCTGGTCCTAAAAACGAAGCACTGTTTCCTCACCCATGGTTCTAATGTTAACACGGGTGAAGCAGTCGTTCTTTCTGCAGATCTCCAGACCTGATATAGAGAAGGTGATTATAGGCTTTCAACCCTAGAGAGGATGAGCCCTCAACACTGCCCTGATCATCCCAAACATGTCAGTTCTGGAGCATAGCTATACATCACTTCTGTGCCCTTTAACACCCAAAGCAAAGGTTGTTAACTAGCATAAAACATTGCTGGTCTATAAGTGTTGGACGTGTGTCTAACTGGAGCTAAAACAACCTGCATGATTAACTGGGACAGCTAGCAGGGTGCTAGCTGCTACATCAGGCTACTTACTATGATTTAGAAAGGCAGTGGTTAGAGCACTCGTGTCCCGTACTCCACACAACCACGAGTGTCTATGAGAGAACTGACAGAATAAATGATCTATTAGCCTTTTCAATCTGAGCACAAAACTGAACAGCTCCACACCACCGGGGGCATCCTTTACTCACCACACTGCTGCTGATGATGGCGATGGCCAATGTTTTACAAACCAGGGAAATGTTGAGCGTAATCCACCTAATATAGCACAGAAATCATCTCTAAACTGTTTCCCATCATGCCCCTGGCTACAGTGATGTGGGCCAGGTCATTACAGGGTGCCCAGATTTGAAAGAGCAGGGAACCACTGCTGAACACGTCATCGCTTTATGATCGCAAACTTATTAAGATTAATAGCAATGCACTGCTGATTCTGTGTTCGGTGCTTCTGCTGTGGTGCTATTGAGACAGATCTGATCACTCTCACGTGGCTCTCCATGGTGTCCATCATGGCATCCTGACCACAGTGGTGCTGCTCAGTGTTAATGCTGACCCCTCTCTGTGCTTAAACACTTAAGAGTCTTCATCTTGAGTCACGCGTGAACAACTAAGCGAATGTCCGGCTCTATTTTGGTGACCGTATTCTGATGTTCATGATCTGAGTATTGCACCGCTGACGCTGTTAAAGCAGATTTGTAGCATTGATTTGTAGATGGAGTCACACTAACTCTTCTCCTCAGCTGTTGGGCTGGTGTAAAGCGCTCTGTCGTTTGGTCTATGAGCTCCATCTCTCACTGTGAGATTCCCTCCACGTGTTAATGAGTTCTCTATAGTCTAATCACTCCCTCTGCTTTATCATGGGTCGCCACAGCAGAATAAATGGCCAGTTAAACAGGAAATCAAATGCCTTGTATTGTCACATCATCATCATCATCATCATCATCAGCAGCAGCAGCAGCAGCAGGAGCAGCAGCACATGTGCTATGATGAGGCAGAAGCTTCAGTGCTGGCTTCAAACAAAACACAACAACACACTCCAAATCACTACACTATTAACAGGTACATACAGCCGGGACAACAGACAGTAAATACACACACACACACACACACACACACACACACACACACACACACACACACACACACACACACACACACACACACACACACACACACACATATGCAGACACAAACGAGTGAACCGTGTTTTCAGTGATGCTGAAGTTGTCCTTCAGGAACAGTATTAATCTCAGTCTGTATTGCAGGTCAGGCGAGCAGCAGTGCTCAGGCTGGAGTCAGTGTTCATGTGAAAGCTGAAACAGGAGCAGGGGTTAATTTTTCTTTACTCACTGGAAACACAATCACAGGCACAGTGAACTACTACAGCTCGAACCCTGCAGGAACCGGTACTGCTCACACACACACTGCTCATTAGCTGTTATTAGCATTATGCTCAGTGCTACTCAATCCTACTCCTATTTAAGTAAAGCTGTGGTCACACTGCCCTTTTCTCCCCATACACTTCCATTCACACACATGTCAATATGGCAGATCAGAAGCGTAAGCTCATGACAAGTTTCGCATGTTGCTGAATTCTGAACAGTGAAATTACATCACGATACGTGAGACCAATAGAAGCTCAAAACCTGACCTCAGTGTACACAAATGTAAAATATGGACCAATCACTCGCTTTTTAAACATCTAATCATCTTGTTAAATCCCGCCCCTTTTCACAGCACCGTACGACAGAATTTCACACGATCAAACTCAAGTGTGATCGTGGCGTAAGAATGCTCGAGTTCTGACCCTGATCAAACACAGCTGATCCAGCTAATCAAGGTGTTCAAGACCACCAGAGTCCATTCAGCAGGTGTGAGTTACAGGAGGCTGGAGCCAAACTCTGCAGAGCTGCGGTCCTCCAGGAACTGAGTTTGAGACCATTGCTTTACAGCAGAGGTGCCCAGACACAGTCCTGTAGGGTCACAGCTCTGCAGAGTTTAGCTCCAGCCCTGATTAAACACTCCTGGATCAGCTAATCAAGTTCTTACTCGCTGTACTAGAAACGTCCCGGCAAATGTGTTGCAAGTCGGAGCTGAACTATGCAGGACAGCAGCCCTCCAGCACTGAGTTTGACCACCCCTGCTGTAAAGCATTAGTCTTCCAGTTCCTCTCAGTCATCAGTAGTCTGTGTGGCTGTTGAGCGTTAGCAGAATCATAACCCAACTGCATGATATTTACTGAACAGTTTGCACATTTCATACCTCACACAGAGAGAACAACGTCATCCGAACAATCATCTGAGACTGATTTAGCAAATATGGAAAATAAGCTTGAACAAAGAAAAAGAGGAACAAGAGTATGCAGAAAATACACATATAACACTGGAACAAGAACACTTGATGAAGGAGAAACACATTAGACAGACGCTCATAGCCAGATCAGCTGCAGAAATGTTCAGAGCTTCAGGCATGACCATATCCACCACATGAGAGACTTTAATAGTCATTTATGAGGGACTTACACAGCATAGAGAGTCCTCTCACTCAGCGTTTCTCTCATCGTTCTGTGCATTATTCTCTCTCATCTCACAGATCAACAGAAGCGCTCAGAGACAGCAGAGGAACACACAGAGCAGCAAGGTCCCTCAGGTTATTCTTTGTGTTATGATCCATTAAACTAACACAGATGTGATGATATGTAAGAAGAACTGAACACATTTATACAGATGTTAAACTGAACTCTTGAACGGTTTTAGATTGAACTACTATACTAATATTTAATAGAGCTGATCCAGTGTACCACGGCCTGGATAAAAACGGCATTGTTCCTCCTGAATCCTTGGTGCAACCATCAGCCGGATCCTCCTCTCCAGTACCCTGGCATACATTTTGGCAGGGAGGCTGAGGAGTGTAATCCCCCTATAGTTTCAACACATCGTCTGGTCTCTCTTTTCAAAAATGGGAACCACCATACTAGTTGCCCAGTCCCTATGGACTGTCCCCGACCTCCATGTGGTATTGTAGAGACGTGTCAGCCAAAACAGCCCCAACAATATCCAGAGACCTAAGATACACAGGGTGAAGCTCATCCACCCCCACTGCTTTGCCACTGAGAAGCTTGCAAACTACCTCAGTGACCTCAGCTTTGGTGATGGGTGAGTCCACGCCTGCATCCCCAGTTACTGCTTTCTCAAAGACATGTCAGTGGGCTTAAAGAGATCCTCAAAGTATTCCTTCCACCGTCCAACAACATCCCCAGTCGAGGTCAACAGCTCCCCACTTCCTCTGTAAACAGGGTCAATGTGGAGCTGCTCTTCCCTCTTGAAGCACCAGATGGTATGCCAGAATCTCTTTGGGGCTGACTGATAGTCTTTCTCTATGGTCTCCCCGAACTATTTCCTGGCCCAAATTTTTTTCTTCTGCAACTGCCCGGGCTGCAGCACGCTTGACCTGTTTGTACCCGTCAGCTGCCTCGAAAGTCCTGCAAGCCAACCAAACCCTGTAGCACTTCTTCTTCAGCTTGACAACATCCCTTACTTCTGGTGTCCACCACCGGGTGTGTGGATTACCACTGTGACAGGCACCACAGACCTTACGACCACAGCTCTTTACACCTACGTCAACAATGGAGTCGGAGAACATGGACCACTCAGTCTCAATGTCCCCAGCCTACCTCAGGATCTGGTCAAAGCTCCCCCAATGTAGAGAATTGAAAATCCCTCTGACTTGAGGTCCAGGCAGACGTTCCCAGAGGACCCTCACAATAGGTTTGGGCCGGCCAGATCTGTCTAGCTTTCCACTTGCCAGCGGATCCAACTCACCACCAGCTGGTGATTAGTTGACAGCTCTGTCCCTCTCTTTACCCAAGTGTCCAAGACATACGGTCAAAGATCAGGTGATAAAACCACAAAGTCAATCATTGACCTTCGTCCAAGGGTGTCCTGGTGCCATGTGCACTGTTGTACACCCTTATGCTCGAACATGGTGATCATTATGGACAAACTGTGATTAGCACAGAAGTCCAATGACAGAACGCTACTCATATTCAGATCAGGCAGGCTGTTTTTCCCAATCACACCTCTCCAGCACTGTCAATACCCACATGGGCATTGAAGTCAACCAGTAGAACAACAGAGTCCTCAGTCTGAGCACCTTTCAGCACCCATCCCAAAGACTCTAAGAAGGCTGGGTACTTTGCACTGGTGTGTGACCTGGTGTGTGACCACAAACCACAGTAAGAGACCTATCCCTGACCCAAAGGTGCAGGGAGGCGACCCTCTGGTTCACTGGAGAAACTCCAACACATGGTGGCTGAGTTGGGGAGCTATAAGCAACCCAACACCAGCCCACTGCCTCTAACCAATGGTTGAACCTAGGATTCTGGAGGATTGATGTGGTTTTCATGCAGGCTGTGGTACACTGGACAAGTTCTATACCTGGACAAGCTCTATACCCTCGCCAGGGTGCTCGAGGGTTTATGGGAGTATACCCAACCAGTCCACATGTGTTTTGTGGACTTGGAAAAGGCATTTGACCGTCTCCCATTCTATGACGGATGCTCTGGGAGTATGGGGTCAGAGGCGTTCTGTTAAAAGCTGTCTCATCCCTGTATGAACAAAGTAGGAGTTTGGTTTGCATTGGCAAAGCTCTCGATTTACCAGGCAATCTACTTTCCTACTCTCACCTATGGTCATGAGCTTACTTGGCAGGTCGCACCCTTATAAATAGGGTAAGGAGCTCTGTTACCAAGGAGGAGCTCGGAGTAGTCCTGCTTCTCCTCCACATCCAGATCAGCTGGCATGGCTCAGGCATCTGTTTCAGATTGCTCCTGGACGACTATCTAGGGAGGTGTTCCAGGCATGTCCCATTGGAACGAGGCCTTGGGGAAGACCCCGGACACGCTTGAGGGACTATGTCTCTCGGCTGGCCTAGGAATGCGTCAGGATCCCCCCGAAGAAGCTGGAGGAAGTGTCTTAGGTTCTGTTCTAAGACTGCTGTCCCCGCGACCTGGCCCTGGATATGCAGTTGAAAATGAATGAATGAATGAATGAATGAATGACTGAAAAATATTTAATATAGATTTCTTACTTAAATTTATGCAGATTCTCAAAAATCTTCAGATTCTGCACCCTCCACTTACTATTGCCCAAGATACTGTCCCAGTCTGCCACTATACAAAGTCTACTTCAGCTTGAACAGAGTTTTTACAGTTCACTAACAACATGCTAAACTTGATGTGAAAGCTTGCTCTACAAGCATATTGTTTTTCTCTTCTGCCTTGTTTGATGTACTTGAATCATTTGTTTTATATAGCAGAGGATTCGAAACTGAGACGGTTCTTGAAAACACATAAACACAGCATGAAGAAGAAAGCAGAATATATATTTGAACACAGTGAAGAAGTCGATCTGAAGACTATTTACACAGAGCTGTTCATCACACAGGGAGATATGAGAGATGTCAATCAGGAGCACGAGATCCTGACAATTGATGACGCTTTTAACAGAAAACAAACACAGGACAAGCCAATCAAATGTAAAGATATGTTTACTGAACTGAAGAAGAAGAGTAATAAAAAAACAGTGCTGACAAAGGGCATCGCTGGCATTGGAAAAACCGTCTCTGTGCACAAGTTCATCCTGGACTGGGCAGAAGGGGAAGTCAGTGAGGATATAGACTGTGTGTTCCTGCTTCCATTCAGGATGATCAACATGATTAATGATAAAGAGTTCAGTCTGCATGAGCTTCTGATGGAGTTTTATTCTGGACTGAAGGGTCTGGAAAACTCAAAGCTGTATGAGAAATGTAATATAGCATTTTTATTTGACGGGCTTGATGAGAGTCGTCTACCTTTGAATTTTAACCGTGGAACACTGAATACAGTTGAGACGAGATCATCTGTAGATGTCTTGTTCACCAGTCTGGTTAAAGGGAATCTGCTTCCATCAGCTCTAGTCTGGGTGACCTCACGACCAGCAGCAGCCAATCAGATCCCTCTTGTATGTGTGGGATTGGTCACGGAGGTGCGAGGATTCACTGAGCAGCAGAGGGTGCAATACTTCAGAAAGCAGATCACAGATGAGAATCAGGCCTCCAGAATCATATCACACATCAAGACCTCTCGTAGTCTCTACATCATGTGCCATATTCCTGTGTTCTGCTGGATCACGGCCACTGTCCTTCAGCAAATACTCAAGGAGAAAACCGAGAACATCAGCACCACACTCACTGAGATGTACGTTCACTTCCTGCTGATTCAGATGAACATGAAGAGCCAGAAGTATGATGACCAAGAAGAAAGAGATTATACGAAGCTCTTAGATTCAAACAAAGAGATGATCCTGAAATTAGCCAGGCTGGCCTTCAAACAGCTAAAGGATGGACAGATTGTGTTCTATGAGAAAGATCTGCAGGAGTGTGGCATTGATGTGAGTGTAGAAACTGAGTTCACTGGAATGATCGCTGAGATCTTTAAGAAGGAACGTGGACTCCATGAAAAGAAGGTCTTCTGCTTTGTGCATCTGAGTGTTCAAGAGTTCCTCGCTGCACTGTATGTGTTCTTCTGCTTTCTGGAGAGGAACAACGATGAGCTTCAGTTTTTCTTTGAGGAGTCACAAAGTACAACCAGAGGAAAACTTCAGCTCCATGACTTGGTAAAGAAGGCCATCGATAAGGCAATGTTTAGAAAGAGTGGGCATCTGGACCTGTTCCTGTTTCTGCGGTTTCTGATGGGCATTTCACTGGAATCCAGTAATAAACTTCTCATAGGGCTGCTCAAACACACTGAAGACACCACAGAGAGCATCAGAAAAATAACTGAGCATGTTAAACAGCTGCAGGAAAAGAGCATCTCAGAGGAAGCTTCGGTGAACCTATTTTACTGCTTGCTTGAACTCAACGATCAGTCATTACATGAGGAAATCCAGAGTTACCTCAGTGCACAAGCAGACCCAGGGAGAAAACTGTCTTCTTCAATGTGCACAGTGCTGCTCTATGTACTGCTCATGTCCGAGAAGGTGCTGGATGAGTTCAACCCGAAGAGGTTCACCTCATCTGAATCAAACTACAGGACACTCGTTCCAGCTGTGAGGTCATGCAGAAAGGCCCTGTGAGTAATCTTACCCACTGCTGTCTAGTCCTAACCAACCATTGAAATGCATTGTAAAACGTATTGTATTCCGTTTTGTCAGGTTTGATGGCTGTGGCCTTGATGAAACCTGCTGTGATGCTGTGTCTTCAGCTCTACAATCCTCAAACTGTGTTCTGAGAGAGCTGGACCTCAGTAACAATGCCCTGCAGGACTCAGGAGTGAACATGATCGCTGAAGGACTGAAGAGTCAACACTGTAAACTGGAGATACTGAGGTCAGAGTTTGAACACCTGATTAATTGAATGGTTAAATCAATCGATCAATCATTGATTTTTTTAAACATGAGATTACCTCAAACCACTGTTCATGTAATTTGTTTTTTTTTCTCAGACTGGGCATGTGTAAACTCACTGTTCAGTGCTGTGAGAGTTTGTCTTCAGCTCTACAATCCTCAAACTGTGTGCTGAGAGAGCTGGACCTGAGTAACAATGCCCTGCCAGATTCAGGAGTGAAACTTCTCTCTGATGGACTGAAGAGTTCAGACTGTAAGCTGGAGACACTCAGGTCTGAGTTCAAACGATTGATTGTTTTTTTTTTTGTTTACAGATCAGATGGTTTACTAAAGATCACACCGTTAATGCTCTGTGTTCTTCTTGCTCAGGTTGGTCATGTGTAATCTCACTGTTCAGTGCTGTGAGAGTTTGTCTTCAGCTCTACAATCCTCAAACTGTGTGCTGAGAGAGCTGGACCTGAGTAACAATGACCTGCAGGATTCAGGAGTGAAGAAGCTCTCTGATGGACTGAAGAGTCCAAACTGTACACTGGAGACACTGAGGTTTGACATTCACACACACACTCGTACACTACGGATAGTTTAGTTGATCAGTTCCCCTATAGCGCATGTGTTTGGACTGTGGGGGAAACCGGAGCACCCGGAGGAAACCCACACCAACACGGGGAGAACATGCAAACTCCACACAGAAACTCCAACTGACGCAGCCGGGACTCAAACCAGCGACCTTCTTGCTGTGAGGTCACAGTGCTGACCACTGAGACACCGTATCACACCTGAATGAAATTTTTACAATTAGATATATATACAGTTAGGTTCATAAGTATTTGGACATCGACAACATTCTAACTTGTTTGGCTCTTTACACCAGAACAAATGATCTGAAATGAAACTAACAAGATGTGTTTTAACTGCAGACTGTCAGCTTTAATTTGAGGGTATATTTGCATCCAAATCAGGTAGAATTACAACAGTTTGCAACTGTGGCTCCCACTTCTTATTCAGATCAGGTGATTGACTTGGTCATTGCATAAGATTCCACTTCTTTCTCTTCAAAACTCTTTGGTTGCTGTTGCAGTATGCTTTGGGTCATTCTCCATCTGCTCTGTGAAGCGCCATCCAATGAGTTCTGAAGCATTTGGCTGAATATGAGCAGAGAATATTGCCTGAAACACTGCAGAATTCATCCTGCTTCTTTAGTCAGCATCACATCATCAACAAAAAAACATCATCAATAAAATGGCTACAGCCACATCACCCTGCAGCCCAAGAGCGGTTACTCACTGAAGCTGAGCAGGGCTGAGCCTGGTCACTATCTAGATGGGAGACCACATGGGAACACTAGGTTGCTGTTGGAAGTGAGAGGCCAGCAGGGGGCACTCAGCCTGTGGTCTGTGTGAATCCTAATACCCCGATAAAAGTGAAGGGGACACCATACTGTCAGTAGGCGCCGTCTTTTGGATGAGATGTTAAACCGAGGTCCTGACTCTCTGTGCTCATTTAAAATCTCAGGGCACTTCTGGTAAAGAATAGGGGTGTAACCCCGGTGTCCTGGCCAAACTCCCTCAATCGGCTCTTAAAATCATGGCCGTCCAATCATTCTCATCCACTGAATGGGCTCTATCATTGTCTCTTCACTCCACATTTAGCTGGTGTGTGGTGAGCGAACTGGCGCCCCCCCCCCCCTCTCCTCATTATTGTGAGGTGCTTTGGGTGTACGGCCATACTCAATAAATGCACTATATAAATACACATTACATTACAATAAATACAAGAGAACCAGTTCTATTGACAGCCATACATTTCCACGTTATGACACTACTACCACCATGCTACTACTACACCATGCTTCAGGAGAAGCACTTTAGCAGCATCTAGACCAGCAGCCTGTAAGTACATTTAAGATTTGTTTCAGTTGTTGTGTATGGTTTGAGGACTTGTTTCCAGCTGTTTGTGTAAAGTTGTAGGACATTTAAACTTGCTTTCAGTTGTGTATAATACTAGAAGTTGTTTAGCCACTGTTTCCTTGGTTACTATAAGAGCTTGTGTAGCGAACGCAGACGCGGTTTCGCGTCGTCCGCCTCAGTTTCGGCCCTTGTTTTGACTCGGGAGGCGTGTCCAAACGCCAGGTAACCACTATATAGTGAGCACGCTAGCATTAGTCGGCAGGAGAAGCACTTTAGCAGCATCTAGACCAGCAGCCTGTAAGTACATTTAAGATTTGTTTCAGTTGTTGTGTATGGTTTGAGGACTTGTTTCCAGCTGTTTGTGTAAAGTTGTAGGACATTTAAACTTGCTTTCAGTTGTGTATAATACTAGAAGTTGTTTAGCCACTGTTTCCTTGGTTACTATAAGAGCTTGTGTAGCGAACGCAGACGCGGTTTCGCGTCGTCTGCCTCAGTTTCGGCCCTTGTTTTGACTCTCGAGGCGTGTCCAGCTGAATTCAATCAGCTAGTGCTTTAGGGGTTATATAAACAACTAGTTCACCGCGGCAGCCTCGTGTGAAGACCGCCTCGTGTGAAGACCGACGAGGGTAAAGACCATCGACTCTACCTGCGCGACTCCACCGAGCAAAGACACCGACAAAGCACTTGAGTACTTTACTTTATTGTTTTACTTTACACTTATTTTTTTGTTGTCAGTGCACTTTTATTATGTGTTTTCTAATTCCTGTTGTTACTAACACTCGCAAAACACGGGAGGTGCGCTGCAGGCGTAATCCTCACAACCTTCGTTCAATACATGTATCTGCTATTTCTCAACTCTCTCTCTCCGTGGGCCTCTGGAATTGTCAATCAGCTGTTAACAAGGCTGATTTTATTACCTCCATAGCTACATATTCTGACTATAATCTCATGGCTCTAACTGAGACCTGGTTGAGGCCGGAGGACACTGCTACACATGCTACTCTTTCTGCTAATTTCTCTTTTTCCCACACTCCTCGTCAGACAGGGAGAGGGGGTGGGACTGGACTACTAATTTCCAAAGAATGGAAATTTACTCTGATACCGTCCCTGCCAACAATCAGCTCCTTTGAATTCCATGCAGTCACCATTATCCACCCCTTCTACATAAATGTGGTTGTCATCTACCGCCCACCAGGTAAATTAGGTCACTTCCTAGATGAACTGGATGTTCTTCTCTCATCTTTTTCTAATTTTGCCACTCCCTTATTGGTGCTAGGTGACTTCAACATTTACGTTGACAAACCGCAAGCTGCAGACTTTCAGACTTTGCTTGCCTCTTTTGACCTAAAAAGAGCACCTACTTCTGCTACCCACAAATCAGGTAATCAGCTAGACCTTATTTACACACGACACTGCTTCACTGATCAAACAATAGTAACTCCACTACAAATATCTGATCATTTCCTTCTGTCTCTCAACATCCACATTACTCCTGAGCCGCCACACACTCCAACACTGGTTACCTTTCGCAGAAACCTACGATCTCTCTCACCCAATACACTATCCACCTTTGTTTCAGACTCTCTTCCTCCATCTCGCAAACTCACTGCACTTGATTCGAACAGTGCCACTAATACACTCTGCTCCACACTAGCATCATGTCTAGACCGATTATGTCCTCTTGCATCCAGGCCAGCCCGTGCCAGTCCTCCTGCACCCTGGCTCTCGGATGCTCTCCGTGAGCATCGCTCAAAACTTCGGGCTGCGGAGAGAATTTGGCGGAAAACTAAAAATCCTGCACATCTCTTAACATACCAAACTCTTCTGTCCTCTTTCTCAGCTGAGGTTACTTCTGCAAAGCAGACGTATTACCGTCTGAAAATCAACAATGCCACTAATCCTCGCCTACTTTTTAAAACATTTTCCTCCCTCCTCTATCCTCCTCCTCCACCCGCATCCTCCACACTTACTACTGATGACTTTGCTACATTCTTCTGCACCAAAACTGCAAAAATCAGTGCTCAATTTGCTGCACCTACAACAAACACGCAAGATACAACACCAACACCACACACACTCACCTCTTTTTCTCAGCTCTCTGAGTCTGAGGTGTCCAAACTTGTGCTATCTAGCCATGCAACCACCTGTCCACTCGATCCCATTCCCTCTCATCTCTTGCAAGCCATCTCTCCTGCAGTCATACCAACACTGACTCACATAATTAACACATCTCTTGACTCTGGTTTATTCCCCACTACATTTAAGCAGGCTAGAGTAACCCCACTGCTAAAGAAACCCAACCTGGACCATACACTACTTGAAAACTACAGACCAGTATCCCTGCTTCCATTCATGGCCAAGATTCTGGAGAAAGTAGTGTTCAATCAAGTCCTGGACTTTCTTACTCAAAACAATCTCATGAACAACAAGCAATCCGGCTTTAAGAAAGGCCACTCAACTGAGACTGCCCTGCTCTCGGTCGTGGAGGATCTCAGACTGGCTAAAGCAGACTCTAAATCATCAGTCCTCATTTTGCTGGACTTGTCAGCTGCTTTTGACACTGTCAACCACCAGATCCTGCTATCTACGCTTGAGTCACTGGGCGTTGCGGGCACTGTTATACAATGGTTCAGATCTTACCTCTCTGACAGGTCATTCAGGGTGTCTTGGAGGGGAGCGGTGTCCAACCTACAGCATCTAAACACTGGGGTACCTCAAGGCTCTGTTCTTGGGCCACTTCTCTTCTCCATCTACACATCATCTCTAGGACCAGTCATCCAGAGACATGGATTCTCCTACCACTGCTATGCTGATGATACCCAGCTATACCTCTCTTTTCATCCTGATGATCCCTCGGTTCCAGCTCGTATCTCAGCCTGCCTGTTGGATATTTCACACTGGATGAAAGATCATCATCTTCAGCTGAACCTCGCAAAAACGGAAATGCTTGTAGTTTCTGCCAACCCGACTCTACACCATAACTTTTCAATCCAGATGGATGGGGCAACCATTACTACATCCAAAATGGTGAAAAGCCTTGGAGTAACGATTGATGACCAACTAAACTTCTCTGACCACATTTCTAGAACTGCTCGATCGTGCAGATTTGCACTCTATAACATCAGAAAGATCCGACCCTTCTTATCTGAACATGCAGCTCAACTCCTTGTTCAAGCTCTTGTTCTCTCCAAACTGGATTACTGCAACTCTCTACTAGCTGGGCTTCCAGCTAACTCTATCAAGCCTCTTCAACTGCTCCAGAATGCAGCAGCACGAGTTGTCTTCAATGAACCTAAACGAGCACATGTCACTCCGCTGCTAGTCCGTTTGCACTGGCTGCCAGTTGCTGCTCGCATCAAATTCAAAACTCTGATGTTTGCCTACAAAGTGACTTCTGGCCTAGCACCTTCTTATCTGCACTCACTTCTGCAGATCTATGTGCCCTCCAGAAACTTGCGTTCTGTGAATGAACGTCGCCTCGTGGTTCCATCCCAAAGAGGGAAAAAATCACTTTCGCGAACGCTCACGCTCAATCTGCCCAGTTGGTGGAATGAACTCCCTAACTGCATCAGAACGGCAGAGTCACTCGCTATTTTCAAGAAACGACTAAAAACTCAACTATTTAGTCTCCACTTCACTTCCTAATCTGCAATTGCCTCTTTGAATATCACACTAACTAACTGTACAAAAAAAAAAAAAAAAAAAAAAAAACTACTAACACTTCCCTTCTTAGACTTTACAGACCTGAAACTTGCCTTTAGTACTTATTCATTGTTGCTCTTATAGTTGTGTAAATTGCTTCCTTGTCCTCATTTGTAAGTCGCTTTGGATAAAAGCGTCTGCTAAATGACTAAATGTAAATGTAATGTAAATGTACACTGCTGAGGCACTCATGAGCAGCTCCTTTTCTTCTCTATACTCTTCTCTTCCTGTTTTTGAGGCTCACCAATGTTTACATGTTGTGGTGACCCCACTTGTGGTGATTCACTTTGGTGTTGTCTTCTTTTGATTGTTGACTCGTGACACACACACACACACACACACACACACACACACACACACACACACACACACACACACACACACACACACACACCTGCCTCCTGGAGAGTGTTCTTGCTCTGGCCAACTGTTGTGAAGGGTGTTTTCTTCACCAGTGAAAGAATCGTTGGTTGTCCAGCACAGCTGTCTCTGTGGTCTTCCAGGTCTTTAAGTGTTGCTGATCTCACTGGTGTGTTCTGTCTTATTAAGAATGCTCCACACAGTTGTCTTGGCCATGTCTAATGTTTCTGTTCTCTCTCTGAAGGGTTTGCTATGTTTTTCAGCCTAATGATGGCTTGCTTGACTGATAGTGACAGCTCTTTGGATCTCCTCCTGAGCGTTGATGGTAACAGATCATATTTATTCACATTTAGTCATTTAGCAGGCACTTTTGTCCAAAGCGACTTACATTTGAGGAAGTATTCAGCAATTCAACTAGAAGTGGCAATACACACAAGAAGTGCTCTTTTTACAAAGGAACAGTTTGTGCTCAGTCCATGAGTGTGTGATCAGGCCATGAGCAGCATCAGCTGTGGGAGTGTAATCAGTGGAGGGCCCGGCACTGGCAGTTCTTACTAACCCAGTGGGTCAGGAGGCTTTGGTTCTAGAAATGATGAGAAGTCACATGCCTCTGTCAGCTATGGGAAGTCACACGGCTCTGGCAGCCATTTGTGGAACTCAGGTGGTGGCTCTGACCATTTGTGGGAGTCAAGGGAATCTGGCGGCTGCTATTTGAGCACTTCTGAGGAATCTGGTGCCCACCATTCAAGGGAATCAAAGGGATTTATCGGCGTTGACTGTGGCGAGGTGATGCAGTGGCGCAATAGATAGTGCTGTCACCTCACAGCAAGAAGGTTGCTGGTTCGAGCCTCGACTGGGTCAGTTGGTGTTTCTGTGTGGAGTTTGCATGTTCTCCCTGCGTTTCGGTGGGTTTCCTCCGGGTACTCTGGTTTCCCCCACACTCCAAACACATGCGGTACAGGGGAAATGGGGAAGCTTAAATTGTCCGTAGTGTAATGTGGATGTTTCCCAGAGTTGGGTTGCGGCAGGAAGGGCATCCAGATGCTACGGGCCCAGATGGCATTCCTGGACGTGTACTTACAGCATGTGCACACCAGCTGGCTGGAGTTTTTACGGACATCTTTAACCTCTCGCTCTCTCAGTCTGTGGTTCCCACATGCTTTAAGACAGCTACTATTGTGCCCATACCGAAATCAGCTAAAACCACATGCTTGAATGACTGGCGCCCGACTGCTGTGACATCCAGCTTCAGCAAGTGCTTTGAGAAGCTGATTAAACAGCACATCTGCTCTGAACTGCCCGCTCACTCTGACCCTCTGCAATTTGCACACAGGAGTGACCGCTCCACTGATGATGCCATCGCTTCACCCTGCACACTGCTCTGTCTCACCTGGAAAACACAAACACATGTGAGAATGCTGTTTGTGGACTACAGCTTAGCATTCAACACCATAGTGCTGCCAAGCTGGTGGTGAAGCTCCAGGCTCTCGGTTTTCACAGCTCATTGTGCAACTGGATCCTGGACTTCCTGTCAGGCAGACGCCAGGAGGTCAGAATGAACAGCATCACCTCGTCCACACTGATCCTCAACACTGGGGCTCCACAGGGCTGTGTTCTTAGCCCACTCCTGTACTCCCTGTACACACATGACTGTACAGCCAAACACAGCTCCAACATCATCGTTAGTTTGCTGATGACACAACGGTGGTGGTGGGTCTAATCACCGATAATGATGAGACGGCCTACAGAGAGGAGGTGCACACTCTGACGCAGTGGTGTGAGGAAAACCACCTCTCACTCAACATTAGCAAAACCAAGAGCTGGTAGATTTCAGGAGAGAGAAGAGAGAACACCCCCCCATCACCATCAACGGGACGCCAGTGGAGAGAGTCAGCACTTTCAAGTTTCTTTGAGTCCACATCGCTGAGGATTTGACATGGACGGCCCACACAGATGCAGTTCTGAGGAAGGCACAACAACGCCTCTTCTTCTTCAGGCGTGTCAGGAGGTTTGGAATGAGCCCCCACATCCTCCACTCGTTCTACACCTGCATTTTGGAGAGCATCCTATCTGGCTGCATCACCACCTGGTATGGGAATAGCAGCAGCAGCAATCGCAAAGGCCTCGATGAAAAGATTGATGAAGTTTAATCATGATGACTAATTATTATATTTAGAATAAAAAATAGAAATTCAAGTAGAGCAAGCCAGAAAGCAACTGAAGCAGACAGCAGCAATCAATCAGCAAGACAGCAGCAATCCAGACAGAGCAGCAATCCTAGGCTTTCATGCAACCAAGTCAATGCTAAATTCAGCCAGGCTAGCTTAAAGATCTCAGCTTAAAAGCTTATCGTCTAGTCAGATGGGTTACTTTTGTGTTTAAAACAATATGTATGTATGATATATATATATGCATCATCAGATCCTCAGTAAACAGAAGAGAAGGAAAGCACCAGGCCCAGACGGTGTTTCACCAGCCTGTTTGAGAACCTGTGCTGACCAGCTGGCTCCCATTTTCTCACAGATCTTTAACGGGTCACTGGAACAACGCAAAGTTCCATCCTGCTCCACTATCATCCCAATCCTGAAGAAGCCAAAGATCTCAGGACTCAATGAATACAGACCTGTTGTCTTAACATCTGTGGCCATGAAGTCATTTGAAAGGCTGGTGCTAGCATATCTGAAGCACATCACTGGACCCCTGCTGGACCCCCTACAGTTTGCCTATAGAGCAAACCGGTCTGTGGATGATGCAGTCAACATGAGGCAGCATTATACCCTACAACATCTGGACAAACCAGGGAACTACTCAAGGATTCTGTTTGTGGACTTCAGTTCTGCCTTTAACACCATTGTCCCATCACTGCTCGAATACAAACTGGGCCAGCTCTCTGTTCCTAGCTCTGTCTGTCAATGGACCACCAGCTTTCTGATAGATAGATAACAGAATTGGCAAAATCACATCCGACAGCTGCAACATCAGCACCGGTGCCCCCCAGGGATGTGTTCTCTCCCCACAGCTCTTCTCCCTGTACAGCACCACCTGCACTGCAAAAGACCCCTCCATCAAACTCATTAAGTTTGCAGACAACACTACTGTTATCGGCCTCATGCGGAACGATGATGAGACTGCATACAGACAGGAGGTGGAGCGGCTGGCGTTATGGTGCGGATACAACAACCTGAACAGGCTCAAAACAGTGGAGATGATAGTGGACTTCAGGAGAAATCCCCCTGCACTCCCCCCACTCACCATCATGGACAGCACTGCGGCTGCAGTAGAGTCGTTCAGGTTCCTGGGCACCACCATCTCTCAGGATCTGAAGTGGGACATTCACATAGACTCTATTGTGAAGAAAGCCCAGCATAGACTGTATATCCTTGATCAGCTGAGTAAGTTTAACCTGCCACAGGAGCTGATCGACAAAGTTCAACTCAGCTGTCATCCAATCCATCCTTTGCACTTCAGTCACCGTCTGGTTCAGCTCAGCTGCCAAAACAGACCTCCGTAGACGACAGCGAATAGTCCGGATTGCTAAACGCATCACTGGCACTAACCGTCCTGCACTTCAAGAACTGCACTCTTCCAGAGTGAGTAAAAGGGCTGGCAAAATCACTCTGGACGCCTCGCACCCAGCACACTACCTGTTCCAACTGTTACCGTCTGGTCGGCGCTTCAGAGCACCAAGCACAAAAACAGCCAGACACAGGAAAAGTTTCTCTCCTCAGGCCATCTACCTCATGAACAGTTAAACATCCCCCAACTGTGCAATAAACTTGTGCAATACTTTCTACATTCGCATGTGTACACAGCACCGTATAACCTTTATATCTATAACGAATCTGTACAGACAACTCAACATCCAGATTACTGGACTAACTGCATCTCTGTTTAATGCTTATCGTATTTCTTTTTTCCATATTTATTTTGTGTTGTCACTTGATGTACACTGGAAGCTTCTGTAGCCAAAATAAACTCCTTGTGTGTGTGTGAAGCACACTTGGCAATAAACCTGATTCTGATATAAGTATTTAGTCAATATCTGTTTGTGTTTTTCAGAAGAGTGTGATTCACCTTTTAAAAGCAATAAGATTAATTACAAATGCCATTATAGGTTTCAGCCTTTGGTGACTAGTGTACAATACACAAATAATTACTGTCTGCCAAACTAATGTGATGCTGACTGTGTGTGTGTGTGTGTGTGTGTGTGTGTGTGTGTGTGTTTGTAGATTATCTGGCTGTATGGTGACAGAGGAAGGCTGTGGTTTTCTGTCTTCAGCTCTGAGTTCAAACCCTGTACACCTGAGAGAGCTGGATCTGAGCTACAATCATCCAGGAGATTCAGGAGTCAAGCTGCTCTCCCGAAAACTGGAGGACCCAAACTACACACTGGAAACACTCAAGTATGTGGGGCATGTGCATATGTTTTTAGTTCTCCCTAAATAGGAAGATGGTAGATAATTTGATGGATACTTACAAAGTTTGGATGAAGTTCAAGGATTAATTCACTTCCATGATACAAATTCCTGATCATTTTCTCTCCTTCTTGAAATGAACTGTAGAGTTTAGTTGCAGTTTTGCAAAAGCACAATCATCCGCGTGTAGGGTTGGGTATCGTTTGGGTATATTTTGATACCGTTGCTAAATCGATACTTTTAAAATGGTACCGGTGCCAAAACCATGCCTGAACCCATACTTTTAAGCCACAAAATGATGGTGGACGACTCTAGAAAAATCTTTTATTTGACAAAAACTTTTAAAAACTAATGTTAATAGAACAATATAATCAAAGTTTAAAGTAAACATCAGTTCATATTTGATATATTTGAATGACATTAATGTATTTCCCTTTCCCTCATTTGTTGGTTAGCATAAATTTAAGATTTGCATTGTGAAATGATATTAGCTTACTGCTAACCTGTGGAAAGGCTGTCATCAAAATACTGACTGCTTTTCAGTTCAGGGGCCACTTGTACTTTCAGGAGGACATTTTAACACATATATCACAAAATACTTCATATTATTCGAAGTCATTTGTTTTCCTGCATTAATCTGCAGTCTTCAGAAACAAGATAATTAAAGAACTTAAACTCAAAATACTCTTCCCTGTTCCTTTATTTGACATGTAACGTTATACTGGTGTAGGAGAACACTTCCAACATTCAAGTACATCAAGACACATCGCTGCACCTGTAAACTTCAACAGGCCTACAGCTGAAGTTGATTTATTTTGCTTTCCCATTCATTTACAATAATGTTTTAGGAAATTTTTACAGTGTTTCCAAAAAAACAATGATTCTGGAGTCATAATAAGTCTTATTTCTTATTGTTTATTTCGTTATTAAAAGCCGTTTTTAATTTAAATTAAAATAAGGTCAGTATTATTAGCCTCCTTAAGAATTATTTACAGTATATTTTTGATTTACACAAAAAATCAGTTACAAAATCATTTGACTAATTATTTTAACTTTTGTAGTTAACTGATTAACTCTAAATTACACTTTAATCTGAAAAAAAGACTATAAAACACGTAAAGGGACTTTGTCTGAACACACATGTCTTGCAAAATAACTAGAATGTTATAACTAAAATGTTCTGCACTGACTGTCAGCATGGGGAAGAGAAAACAGTAGATATTAGAAATGAGTGAGTTAAACTATTGTGTTAAAAATGTGCTGTAAATAAATCCTGTGTTGAAGACGCAAATCAGAAATAAATGAAGGCAAAACTAAACAAGTTGAATATGACTGAGCGTGACTGAAAACTACATTTGATCAGTGTCTTACATCTGTTCTTATTTGTCAATTCAAGACTGCATTTCCTAACGTAAAACTATGTACACTAGATTTCTGATTAATAATGGTCTCTGCGTAGCCGAGGACTAACTATATTAACAGTGTTAAAATTGCTATTACCTGTGTCAATTTGGGTGTCAACCTCTGACGAACGCGGGGAACTAGGCTAATGCGCGCAGCTCCGTCACTGACAGAGAGAGCGAGTGTTCCTGACACCTGGAGCGCGCAGAGAGAGGCCTCAGTCATATCTCCGCAGTCTGCCACCGTTGGCTGATCTCGCTTCTCCGTGGTGTTTTGACACAAAAATACACGTCTAAATTTAGGGGGGCCAAGCTTGTTGACACGGGACTGATGGAAGAGTGCTCTTTTAATAGAATTTGATAGCGCACATTAAATGGAAAGAAAAAAACTCTGCATTTTGCGGTGCAGGTGTCTGTGGTGCTTTAAAGGTTATCAGAAATTACTGTTTACATGATAGTCTAGATTCTAAACCATAGTATTGTCTTAATCATAATACAATCGGAGCTTTAGTGTCCATGTGCATATATGAATAGTGTCAGATGATGTCAGAGACAGTGCATTCCTCTGCCTTTGAGCCCTGATATGTGTCATTAAGCTTGACCTGTTTCCCCCTTACACACAACTTTTGTTTAAAGCCTCTGCTTCACGCTGCTGTGTCAGAACCTTTGCTTGTAAAATACGCTTTAGAATCTTAATTTAAGCAATTTAATAAATGCGATCATGCGTGTTGATCTGAAGAGAGTCTCTCTCACTCACCGAATGCGATGTACTGCGTGCATTGTGTGCGTCCGTTCAATCCCTAAGCAACAAGAACAAACGCCTGACATCACCTGTCCGTATTCCTCAAAGTTGTTTAGGAATCAATGTTTAGAGATGGTGTAACGTGTACCTTTGTGTGCCTTTGATGCACCCCTTGATGCTTCTTACTTCCTTGTCGCAGCACCAGTTTCACCAAAATTAGGCACCTAAATTCATATGCTGATTTGATCCGGTACATACCGGTTACAAAGGTACCGGTGTTATAATGACACTGGGTTTCGGTACCCAACCCTAATCATGTATCAGGCTTTCTCTATGAACTTATGGAGTTATACTTGTGCAAATAAAACTGAATCAGTATACGTAAAGATGTAATGGTCCTGCTGTTTGTGATCATGTGGTGAATGTAGACTGAGTCTAATACAGGAAAAGGAGCGTAAAGAGTTTCCAAGAGTGTTGATTTTGTTGACACATTTTTTTTGTCAATTTTCTATCAACGAAAAGGAGATGAAAACTAAAAAACAACTATAAGTATAATCAAAAGTAAACTGAATGTTCAGAGTTATAAAAACAAGGTGAAACTGTGAGTGAGTGATTTTTTGGTAAAATATCCAATCAGAATTGGTGTGTGATGCGTGAGGCACATTTGACAAGTAACTGATCCACAGTAGATGTGAGATACGATTACATTATCTTCCATTGGGGTGTTTGTCTGATCAAACGGTAATGAAATGGTAACAGCTGAGAGAAAAAGAAGAGATGATTCACATTTGATTCAATTAAACTGAAACTGCTTTAGTCCAGTTTTCACAGTTGAAGTTCAGTTCAGTTCAGTGTAATGTAAATGCCACTGCTAAAAGCCCAAACATTGAAGAGCAAATCCAGCGATCAGAAATACAAGTCCCAAACCAAGCAAACCAGTGGCGACAGTGGAAGAACAAACTTCACCAGCTGACAAAAGTAAAGGAAAAAACCTGGAGAGAGACCAGGCTCAGTTGGGCTCCACCATTTCTCCTCTGGCCAAATGTCCTGTGCTGTCTAGGGAGAGTGCTGGACGTCCATTGTGGAGAAGCTGTAGGTGGGAGAGGTCACCAGCTGGTGTTTAGGCTGAACCACAGGATCAATGTGAGGACTCGTCTGTCACTAGAGGCTTACAGGAATCAGTCTCATGCTCTCCACTGCTCCATGACCACCACAGAGCTGCTCAGGATACGGCAATGGTCACCAAACTTGTTCCTGGAGGGCCGGTGTCCTGCAGATTTTAGCTCCAACCCTAATCAAACACGACTGAACAAGCTGATCAAGCTCTTACTAGCTACACTTGAAACACCCAGGCAGGTGTGTTGAAGCAAGTTCCAGCTAACCCATACAGGGACAAAGCTAAACCTCCAGGACCGAGATTGGTGAGCCCTGCTTTAGAGGATTTGGATTTCGTCAGCATGTGAGTGTTATGTGTGTGCTAATGCAGAGAGATGTATGTTTAATCTAGTTTTATTAGATTATGCAGATATGAGGAAGATCTACCGCCTACAGCTGATGCTGATATTCTGGGAATAATCAATTGTCCAAAATGAATTGAGCGTAGAGGACGTGATGGGCTATAATACATCAGGAGTTCCCACAAACACTGGGGAGCTCAGCCGTTCAGGGCTTTGTAGGTAGTCAATAAAATGGTAAAATGTATGTATTTTGGGAGCCAATGCAATGATGAAAGATCTGGAGTAATATGATCTGCACCTTTAACTAGCTGAAGTAAATCACTCCCAAACTACTGACTGAAGATGAGGACTGAGCTAAGAATCCGTCAAGGGTTAGACAGTGCTCTGGGCGTTTGTGTGGGAGGTTTTTGGGTCCAATAAGCAGGAGCTCAGTTTTATCTGAATTCAGTAATAAGAAGTTATTAGTCATCCGGTGTTTAATGTCAGCTCTACAATCTGTTCATTTGGCAAATTGATGCGAGTTATCAGGTTGAGAGGAGATCGAGAGTTGTGTATCATCAGCATAACAGTGGAAGCTAACTCCATGTTGTTTAATGATATCACCAATAGCGGTAGCATATATAGTGTAAACAGTAAAGGGGCGCAGATCTGAGCCTTGTGGTACCCCACAGTGTACTGTTGACCTGTATATGGTGCCTCATCATGTCTACGGTGCGCAGCATCTTCTTCTTCTTGTGTTTTTATTGTGGTTGGCATGCATCTTTTTAAACATTATCACCACCATCTGGACTGCAGTGTGGACCAGGGTTAACTAACCCAATGGCTCATCCCAATTCCAATAATAGTCCTAAATAGAATTGCAAAATGGCATTAGTTTGTCCCGAATCGTAGTATATTGAAAACAGTATGCCAAATCAGGGCTGGACAATAAGGACTGCCCGATGGCCCGGGGCACCTGACCCCACCTCTAACCCCAACCGTCATTGGGGGATGAGCAAATCGTACTAAATTGTACGAATTAGATCGTACGAATTCATACGAATTAGCCACTAAATGAAAAAGTTACGAATTGCCGTGAGATTGTGTTGGCGGATCGATTGTAGCGAGAAAACAAAACAATGCAACGAACTAACGACCCAGGCTATATCACAGTGTATTATGATTGTGTAATAGCCATATATACACTGTAAAAAATTGCTGTTAAAAAACGGTCAGATTCTACGGTAAAATAATGTTTTTTCACTAAAACAGTAATAATCTGTTAAAAACAGTGCTTTCTGGGTAACATTTTTGTTTTCGAGAAAGTAACCAACTGCAGAAAACTGTGAGCTAACAGAGTTCAGATTCGATGTTTTGAAGTCTGTGTTTAAAATCACACTTTGTGCTCTTGTTCACTATTCCATCAACTAGTTCACCAATATAGTTCACCTGACAGAGTTAATGAACACTAATGAGTGAATTCAGACACTGATGAACACCTGCTGTTAATAATCACAATTACTGAAGGAAAGAGAAACAAGAAACACAAACAGTGACTTGAGTTACAACATTAAATAAAATAAAATAAAATAAAACAGCTTCAGTCTCAGCAGAGGATCATTAAACAACTCCACAAACAACAGCAGACACACACTTATTACTGACTGATTTGACTTCCATACTATTCTCATTGAGATCCAACAGAAATTAAGGTGTTTTTTGTGTCACCATAATGGAGTGAGGGGCTGATTTAGTTGGGCTCTTCACCCTTGAACTCATTTAATAAGACTTTCCAACTGCTGTAATACAGAGTTTACAAAACGTTTAAACTATAGCAATAAAGTTGGGAAGTCAATAAATAGAGAAATCTATTTGTCTGAAATTAGTTCTGATAAATGTTTTGTTATAAATCTGGAAGAAGGGCCTCATGCAATAGATTTTATGCTTAGTTGCAGGTATTAATTTAATTAATGAGAAGTGGAAACAGAAAAGATACCTCCATAATTACTTAACAGTTAAGAAATAACATACAAAAACAGTTCAGTTATGACAAATACACACTCAGACCTCATGAATCTGACCTTGTATCTCAATAATGGTAACATCTCAAATGTTTCATGCTGCAATGCATGCTGGGAGTGGCACGGTACAAATATCCCAGCATGCATTGCGGTATAAATAAATGTTGTATAATGGTCTCACAGTTTTCTTTATTTGTGTTTGATTCTGCTTTTGTTTATGTTTAGACTTTCAGTTGCCTGTTTGTGAGTTAAACTGTTAATTTTGTTAGTTGTCACCATTATTGAGGTTCATATGCTGTTTATAGATGTCTCTTTGAGTGCGATATACACCATAGAGCAGTGTTATTGTCCAAGATATTCTTAAAAACTTCCAGAAATCATTGCCATATAAAGTAAAACAATAGATTTAACATTGAATAGGAGCAGTAAATTTTGTTATACTAAATGAGAACAGACTCTGCCATTTAATAGCAACATGAACATCACCAGATCTTATTTAGGTTTTTGGCTGGCTTGCCTCAACAAAAGAGCTTTTTAAACAAAGTTCTTAACAATTGCAGCAGCCAAGATATATAAATGTTAAAAATGACAGGGCTAAGAGCCCAACTAAAGCAAACTCTGTTCTCCATGATGGTGACGTAAAACTTTAACTTTTTCTCAAGAAGAACTTTAGTAGATGTTATACAAAAATACATGTATTAAGTAATAAGTGTAGCTGGTGATGATGTTTGTAGAGTTGTTTAATCATCCGCTGATCATTTAAATGATATAATCATTTGTTGTTCTTCAGGTTATTTCATTATAAAGCTGTGAATAAAGTTTTGTATGTTCTGTTCTTGTTTTCTCCCTTCAGTATTTCTTCATTTGTTCATTGTTAATCCTCAATCATCATTTAATTAGTCAGTTAATTAATGAATTTACTTCAGCTTTGCTACATGTTTCTTGAACACTCAGTAGTGTGGACACTTCAATAAAAACTGAAGTATATGCTCTGGGGTTTAAAGGGTTAAAGGTGTGAGAGGTAAAAACACAGTGTAAAAATGTATTTTAACAGTAATATACTGTTAATTTACACTACGGAAATAGACTGTAAAAAAACAGTAGATTGCTGGCAACCACAGCTGCCAGTAGATTACTGTTAAATCAAGGAAAAAACAGTATTTTACTGTAAAACCTGAAGCTAATTTCTTCTGTATGTCACCGTTGTGGAGGAGAGTAGAGCCAGTGTTTGAGTTAAAGATGAACAATCAACTGCTGATGTTATTCTGCATGTTTCTTTATTTAAAGACTGCAGCTGTTTAGTTGCTGATGTAGTCAGAATCTCTCTGGTGATTCCAGATTTACATGTATGTGTGCTGTTGTGAAAAATAAGACATTAGAGTTAAACCGAACTTTTCTAATTAACTAAAATAAGTTATCATTATAAGTATACTTCTAAGCATATATAGCACATTACTTCATAAACTCATTCAGCAGTTGACCAAGTTGAGGCAGTTGCTTTCAGTGAGCAAAATGAGTTCACTTGAGTATTGTGTAAATCAATGTAGTCCATGTATTTTTACAGCAACATACTGTAAAATAACAGTACATTGCTGGCAACTGCATCTGCCAGTATTTTACTGTTTTTTAACGGGACAATTTTTAACAGTGTACGGCTATATGAAGAGAGAATGATGAGCAGTGCGAGATTTATTCTTACTGGTAAATGCGAAAGTGAAAGCATGCTGAAATATTACTGAGAGCTGTTTATTCAGCCTGATCTCGGTTTATCCGTCAGGAAAATTGACCGAAGTTAATATCTGATCATTTTTTCCATGTTTTAATCTTACAATATGTTGTGTTAGGCCTGTTGTTTTGTTCATTTCTGCACTGACAGCTCGATAGAGAGATCAACATTGATCTGCTTCGCGATCTGATGCAGTCTCGGTTCACCTGCTATGTCTCTCAATAATTTAAGCCTAAAATGCAGAATTATAGTCAACGTTTCTTTAATAGATTGATTAATTCAATAGATAGATATCTACAAAACCTGACAATTGAAATGAGGCTCTGTATGAGAAAGTCTAACCTCTCTGATTTGTATTCGGTGACGATGTCTGTGGGTTGTTAAAGTTTTAGTGCACATTTTCACTTATAAAATATTCTATACGCAACTGGTCAAAAGTTTGGGGTCAGTATGATTAAATATGTTAAACTAAGCTTCTTCTGCTCACCAAGGCTGCAATTATTTCATCATAAATACAAATTGTGAAATGTTGCACTATAAAATAACTGTTCAAAAGTAGTTTATCATTTAATTTATTCCAGTGATTTTAAAGATGAAATTTCAGCTTCATTACTCCAGTCACATGATCCTTCAGAAATCACTCATATTAATTATTATTATATTTATCAATGGTAATAGTAATCAAATCAATAATGTCTAGAGTAATGGTTTTATTTGAAACTACAAACAATAACAAAGCAGTTATTTAAAATTTTGATAAATATTTAACAATTAAACATTTTTTACATTTAATAAATGTAATCTTGATGAACTGAATAATTTTTGCTTAAAAAACATTTTTAAAATTACTGTAAATATATATACAGAGTTATTAGCCCCCTTTTGTTGTTTTTTTCTTTTTAAAATATTTCCTAAATGATGTTTAACAGAGCAAAGAAATGTTGATAGTTTGTCTGATAATGTTTTTTCCTCTAAACAAAATCTTATTTGTTTTATTTTATCAAGAATAAAAGCAGTTTTTTATGAACCATTTTAAGGTCAAATTTAATAGCCTCTTAAGCTAATTGTTTTTCAGACTGTCTACAGAACAAACCATCATTATACAATAACTTATACAATAACCCTGCCTAGTTAATCTAATTTCCCTAGTGAAGCCTTTACATGTCACTTTAAGCTGTATAGAAGTGTCTTGAAGAATATCTAGTCTAAAAATATTTACTGTCATCATGACAAAGATAAAATAAATCAGTTATTAGAGATGAGTTATTAACACTATTATGATTAGAAATGTGCTGAGAAAATCTGTTCTCTGTTAAATAGAAATTGGGGAAAAATAAACAGGGGTGCTAATAATTTAGAGGGACTAATAGTTCTGAAATCAACTGTGTGTGTGTGTGTGTATATATATATATATATATGTGTGTGTGTGTGTGTGTGTGTGTGTGTGTGTGTGTGTGTATATATATATACCGATCGGGCCAGTAGAAAAAATCCTTAGCATTGAACCCTGCAAATGTTCCTGGATGATTGACTATTTCCTGTGGACTTTTTAGAAGTGTCGAACCGTCTGTACTTTAACTGCTAATACATTGCATGTTGGATGTGAATTCAATTAGATCTACAAACTCAAATAAAAGGTGTGAACTAATTACAGTAATGTCAGCCATGCAAGATTACCTGTCAAGTAGAGAGGCTTCAGTAAAGATGCTTGAATGGCTATTAATATTAATATCTGGCCAAGTGTAAAATATTGAAATCACATTTCAACAACGTGATCTTCTATAAAGACATGTTTGATCATTCACTTCTGAATGCATAAATATCCAAACACCTGAGGAGATTTCTCTGCATGAAAGACTCGTGAGTGTCAGATTAACCTGCTGATGACTCTACAGTAAGGTAGCAAATGAAATATGACAGTAATGTGTGGAGATGATTGACAGGGCATGTAACTAAGCAACAGAACGGTCCATATTGTAGAAGTAGTTTCTCCCAAAGTTTGCACACTCTTCCATTACACACACAACATGTTTATATCTCTTCACAGAAAAGTACACACTTTTGGGATGTAGTATAATATGCGAATTGAGACGCAGCTCACATATATCTTATTGTTTAACAAGCACAGGCGGTAAACACAGTCAATACTCAGGCGAGGGCTCCCTGTGCTGCTGTGGTCATACAGATAACAAAGGGTTAATGACTGCTGGACTACAGTCTCCAGAGACCCAACAATAACTGTGCATCTGTGTGTGTGTGTGTGTGTGTTTACAGTGTAGATCATGGAGGAGACAAGAGGATTACACCAGGACTGCACAAATGTATGTTCGCACGCACACACACGCACACACACGCGCACACACGCGCACACACACACACACACACACACACACACACACACAGACGCATGCACACACACGCACACATGCACACACACACACACATACACACACACGCACACGCACGCACGCACGCACACACGCACACACACACACACACACATGCAAGCACACACACACAGACACACGCACACACGCAAACGCACGCACACATGCACGCACGCACGCACACACACACATGCAAGCACACACACACACACACACGCACACACACACACATGCACACACACGCACACACACACACGCACACACACACACACACAGAGTTTTAGTCTTCTAATGTGTGTGTTCTTGTGTGCAGACGCTTGTTTCCTCACACTGGATCCAAACACAGCAAACTCTGGTCTCGCTCTGTCTGAGGAGAGCAGACAGGTCAGACGTGTGGAGGAGGATCAGCCGTATCCTGATCATCCAGACAGATTTACTGATCATCCTCAGGTGTTGTGCAGAGAGTGTGTGTGTGACCGCTGCTACTGGGAGATGGACTGGTGTGGAGATGGTGTGTTTATATCAGTGTCCTATAAGAGCATCAGGAGGAAGGGAGACGGTAAAGAGTGTTGGTTTGGCTGTAGCGCTCTGTCCTGGAGTTTGAGCTGCTCTTCCTCCGGCTTCTCACTCATACACAATGACAGCTGGACTGGTGTGTCTGTAGAGCTCATCAGCAGGAGAATAGGAGTGTTTGTGGATCACAGTGCAGGAGCTCTGAGCTTCTACAACATCTCTAGAGACAGGAAAAGCCTCATCCGCACAGTCCAGACCACATTCACTGAGCCGCTCTATCCTGGGTTTAGGCTTTATTCTCCTGAATCATCAGTCAAACTGATTTACCCATAATCCTCTGCTCTGCAGGATCAGGGTGTACCGGGAGAGTCTCTTCATCACATTAGTCCTCAGCCTCTGTCTCTTAGAAAATCAATGTGTGTGTGTAGTGTTTGTATGTGTGTGTCTTGTGGACAGTGTGTTAAGTGATGACCGATGTAAGAGTAAATGATCATGTGCATTTGTTTATATGGCAGAACATGTCTTTTTCACCAAGAAGGTCCACATTGACAGTAAAGGCAGATGCTGAGTAAATCAGGGCCTGGTGTGTGGACTTTGGGGGTTGTACGATGTGGTCACATGTTGATTGGTCAGTTTAAATGTCTCAGTATTTGGGCTTTAGTCACATGGTCAAGAAAGACACAATAGCTGGGAAACTTTGCTCTGTCTGTTTTCCTGGTCTGCACTTTCCTGAGCTCTGCTCTCCTCCTCTTCTCTGGATCTACTGCTCCCTGCCTCTTTGAGGCCTACTTACTCTCTTTGTCTCTCTCTCCCTTCCCCTGTGTCTCTCTTGCTTAGGTAACTTTAATTTTAGATTTAAGCTGGGTACAGTTAATATCATTTGTTTTATCATATCATATTTTGTCATTTTATAGTTATTTTGTGATTAATTCAGTTGTAATTACACATAATTAATCAATGTTTAATACCTGACAATAGTAAAATAAAAAAACTAACCAAGCTGAACACGTGAAACTGTAGTTTAGAGGAACTGTCAAACTGATTCATTTGAGTCAGTGAGTCGTTTAGAGTTCCAAACGATTCAGAGTCAATTTGATGACTTGACCTGTGTGAGCACTGCCTATTTTAGACCTTTCAGACTAATTGAAAATATAATGTATTCAAAATACTAATTCAGTTTCTATTTGGAAGTTGATATATTGTAAAGCTTTGAATCAACATAATTAAATTGCAAACTGATTCAGTTGAGCTAGTGAGTCGTTTATCGTTCCAAACGGTTCAGAATCTATTTGATAACTTGACTTTAGAGTCAGCAGGACAGATGTCAGTGCTGGTTATTTCAGACTAGTTGAAAAGACAATATTAAAATAGTCATTTAGTTTCTATTTGGAAATCGCTAATGTGTGCTTTTCAAAGCTTTGAATCATCTGAATCAATTTGCTAAACGATGTTTCCAAACAGCACACGCTAGCGTAGACGCTGGTGACGCCTGCTGGTCAAACTCTGTAAATGCAAACAAAACCCAAGGCTAAACTGACCGCTACAGCTTCTGCCCAGCATTTTAATAATTCAGTTCTCATCATAATCATTCATAATTCAATTTTCAGACTTGTGTATGGCTATCATATGCGTTAGTAATGCTATGGAGGTCAATAAGAGATTTTTAGTTGAGATATTCACTAAATATTTCAATTTCACAAAACATATCCAGTAAAAAAAAAAATCCAGTAATTAATTAATTAATAGTAAAAAAGTGAGAACTGTGCTTTCTGTGGCAAAGTGCCTAAAAGCACATAATGTTGTAATAAAGTGGTGAAATGACTAGCTCTGTGGGGATGTGAACAGATTTAATAATCTGAATATTGTCATTACAGCAATGCTAAAACTGTATGAAAAATAGGTCATTTCTTGCTGTTAAAGACATCGTTTGACAGAGTTTGACAAATTCACTCACACTCAAGTGTAAACCTTCATCGCTTTCTTCCTTCTGTTGAACACTAAAGAAGATATTTTGAAGAATGCTGAAAACCAGTGACCATCCACTTCCATAGCTGCAAAAACCAAAACTGTGGACATCAATGGTGATGAGTTTCCAGCACTCTTCAAAATATCTTCACAAACAAGTTAGAATCAAGTCAAGAGAGAGTAAATTACGACATAATCTTCATTTCTAGGTGAACTGACCCTTTAATCTGCTCAGCAAGTGTTTTACCGCCACCGATGAACTTCCGGTAAACAGTTAATGTGACTATTTTTAATTTTTGGTGACGCAGCAGAGGTGATCTCTCAAGGGTGAGGTGTTTTTATTGTGATTTATATTAACATCCTGAATAAACCATTCCCATGCATTTTGTATATTATGAGAATAAATAACCATAATATAAATAGATAGAAGTAAAGTTGGTTTAATATTGCAATATTCAGACATTCTCTTTAAATACAATATCAGAAAAGTACTCTGCGAATTCTAAATAGGGAATTCACATTAGCAGAAATGACTATCAAAGTCCAGCATTATTCACAGTCAATTAGATAGAGTTAATGTTGTTTACAAGTCATACTAGCATGCTAATTTCCATCCAATATTCAGAGTAACATAAACAATATAAAGACTGCTAAATGAACCAATGTGCGCATATAAACCAACTCTACTCTAAATAGCCGGGTCCGTCTCGTTTTAGGGTCCCCTAGAAACATTTCCCCTGTGTTCAGTGTGCTATTTGCATGTGTTTTATCAAATGCAGAAGTTTTCCTAACGTGTTTGCGTTGTGAGGATCTGCAACACGTGTCAAACCGATGAGGAGCTTTTCCTTATTTGCTTGTGTGTTTTAATTGCACGTGTTTTACTAAATTGCAGCACTTTAACTCTCTCTCTCTCTCTTTCTACGAATAAATGTCAAAGCTGCTAGTTTGACATAATGTTGCTAGGCTAGCATGACAAGTTGCTAAATCTAGAAACAAAAGACTCACTGTAAATAAACAGTCCCGTTGCGCTGCTGCAGTGTTTGTGCTGTTCATCTCCGGAGTGACAGGTGGCAGTCAAGTGTCCATAGGCGCCATAAGAGCCCAGAACACAGAGAGAGAGAGAGAGAGACACACACACACACACAGACCAATGAAACCGAGCGGACTGACTGACAGGAGTTTAAGCTGAAGTGAATCTGAGGTATCTGCGTGTCTGCAGTTTGAGGTAAGATATACTTTCTGAACTTTACCACAGATACACTAAATCCTGATGCAAATCCAGGTGAGCTCGGCGGGAAGTACAGTGACGGTAACATATGCCAGACTAAACAGACTAACGTTAATATCTAGAGGGAAAGTTGGCTTTATATTCGCACATTCAGACTTAAAATAATAATAATAATTTCAGAAAAGGAATTTTTGCTAATCACATGATCAGCTAATGATGATCACTGTACAGCACTGTTGACAGTCAGTTAATCAGTGCTGGTGATGGAGGTAAAGTTGGGTTTATATGCGCACATTGGTTCATTTAGCAGTCTCTATATTGTTTATCATGTTACTCTGAATATTGGATGGAAATTAGCATGCTAGTATGACTTGTAAACAACATTAACACTATCTAGCTGACTGTGAACAATGCTGTACTTTGATAGTCATTTACTGCTAATATGATTTACCTATTTAGGTTTTGCAGAGAATACTTTTCTGACATGATATTATTGAGGAGAATGTCTGAATATCCCAATATAACACCAGCTTTACCTCTGTGTGCTGGTGTTGTGTAGCGGCTGTGTCATTATAATCAATCTGTGTTAGACTGTTTACATTATGCTTTACTATTATATTGAAGCTTTTTATTAAAGTCTGAATGTGCAAATGGAAAACCAACTTTACCTCAAGCAGGTGATTTGTGTTCAAAAGAAAAAGTTGTGTGTTTAGGTGTAACCAAGTATTTGGAAACATTAAATGACTTCTGTTTTATATCCTGTGACAAACTTTAAGGTGTTATTAATGTCCTGTGTCTTATTACTGAGATAGAGTTCAATTATATATGTATATATCAATGCAACATGCACAAAAGTAAACTAATCTAGTTCCCTAAATGTGTTTCTAAAAGTCAATAAAACATGCACCAATAAACATACAGAGATATAACTTCACCTCAAATATAACTATAAATATAACCTGATTACTCCATACTCAAGATTACATGATAAACAGCGGGGAAAATAAGTGTTTGACCATCCGCATTTTCATCAGTAAGGGGATTTGTGTGTGGGCTATTGACACAGAATTTCCACCAGATGCAGATATCAAGACAAATATTGAGTTCATACAAAGACATCAGAACATTTCAGTATACAAGCAGAGTCATAATAAATAAAGTGACACGACACAGCGAATGAGCACTGAACACACTTTATTTAATCCTTTGTATAAGTGATTCCAACCTCTAGACGCCTGTGTGGAGAGACCAGTCGTCTGCATTGCTCAGGAGTGATTCTGGAATAACCTAAATCAAGTGTTCCAAAATAAAAGCACATCCTCATCCTCCTCATCCTCCTCATCCTCCTCATCCTCCTCCTCATTGTGTCTCTCAGATTGCTGGGCTGTGAGTGTGTTTGTGATGGGGGCGTCTCTGTGCCGGACAGACCGCTGGCTCTTGGTTGTCCCAGGCCGCAGACGCAGCGCTCATAAAGGCTGTCTGACGGGTGGAGACGAGTCTCTGGATGGGCTGGACCGACAGGAGGACATTGCTCAGTTCCCCTATGTAGAGTTCACCGGCCGCGACAGCATCACCTGCCCTACCTGCCAGGGCTCCGGACGCATCCCAGCAGGTGAGCACGCCGAAAATACACAGCTTCACACTCACCTTATGAAGGAGGAACTCTTCAAAATCAGTCCAGAATACATGTAATAATGTTATATATCTCTCTGAAGCTGACCCTCGTAGACTGTGATCCTAATGATTTCCATCAAGTGTGATTATAACCAACACAGTTAAATCCTGTTCAGCATCAGAGGCTGCTGGAGATGCTCACACACTGCTCACACACTCCCTAAATGTCTGTAAATTAGGGCTGCACAATGTATTGCTTCAGCATGGATATCGCCGGATCTGCAGTGTCCAGCTGGGCTTATGATATCAGAACATGTGCTTTGTGGGATCATCACACACTTTAACCCCAATAGAGGGAAAGGTTTTTACATCTGGATGTGTCTTTAAGGCCCGTTACTGTGCGATATCAAGCTGATTTAAATCATGTAGCTGAAAAGTTTTAAGCTTTAGCAAAGATTATTTCTATTGAATTGCTTATGCAGTGTAGACTGCACAGTGTTAATTCACTCATGATCACTGCATTTCAGTTCCTAAATACTGTTAAATCCACAGACACTCACAGCACACTGTTAATTCTGTATCTTTATTCAGGTTTGTTCATGGAGGATTAATGTCACTTGTGGAGTTATATTTCTATCACATTATACATCACAGACACAACAAACATGGCAATGTGCTTTATCTGTTTCAGATATTGTGCAGCTGTAATGAGAATTCAGGAGAGGGGTTTGTTGTGTTCTGTGTTGTGTAAAATCAGCAGGTAATCAGTGGTATTGGTCGAGGTCAGGAGGTGGAGGATGTTTCTCAGTGTTATCTGACCGGCTGATTGTTTTTCAGGGCAGCTGAATGAGTTGGTTGCTCTGATCCCCTACAGCGATCAAAGGTTACAGCCTCGGAGAACGTGAGTGACACACACACACACACACACACACACACACACACACACACACACACACACACACACACACACACACACACACACACACACACACTACTGGGGTTAAACCCTGCTCAATAGTCATTTCTGCTGAATGAATATGAGCTGGTGAGCTGTAACCGCTGACCTCCACAGTAGGAAACACAAGTACAGTGGCAGTCAATGGTTACAGGTTTCCAACATTCTTCAGATTATCTCATTTTGTGATTTGACAGAAGAAAGAAACTCAGACTGTTTAGAAATGGGTAAGAGTGAGTAGATGAGGACAGGGTCTTCACTCCCTGTAAGCACACTAACACACTGGCTCAGACTCGTGATTGTCCACTTCCTCTCTCTGCAGGAAGCTGTATGTGGTGCTGTCAGTAATTCTGTGTCTGCTGGCGTCTTTTCTGGTGGCTTTCTTCCTGTTTCCACGTGCTGTGCTGGTGGTGGACGATGGCATCCGCTCCGTGACTGTGCACTTTGACCGAAACAACAGCAAAGTGCTCATCAACATGACGGTGATGTCCTCATTAGTGTTATCCGCATGTGCAGTGCTGTTCCCGGGTTCATCCGCTACTCATGTCAATTGAGAAAACACAGTTTTATGAATATGAGAGATGCTCGTTTACCAGCTTTTAGTCAAATCACACATTACAGGGACTTTGATATAAAGTTGTGGTGTAAACGATCAGTCTAGCAGCAAGATAAACACTATTCATTCATAACTATAACAATATTACTGTACAACTACTCATCATCACTGTAGAGTTTATTCAATTCATTTCAGTTCATCTTTATTTCTATAGCGCTTTACAGCAGCTCAGCACAGATGAAGCTCTAGTAGTGAAACTGCTTCAGTCAAGTGTTCAGAGTTCAGTGTGATGTGAAAGTCTCTACTGATAGTACAAACACTGAAGATGAACATGAGGGAATTATAATGCCTTTATGGGAAGGGTTCAAGGCTCCAGTTGCCCTAATGATGCACCCTAACCATCCTTTGCATTTGGATTTCAACAGTGTGCTTTAATGCGTGTGTTAATGCGTGTGTTAATGCGTGTGTTAATGCGTGTGTTAATGCGTGTGTTAATGCTTGTGTTAATGCGTGTGTTAATGCGTGTGTTAATGCGTGTGTTAATGCGTGCTTTAATGCGTGTTAATGCTTGTGTTAATGCTTGTGTTAATGCTTGTGTTAATGCGTGCTTTAATGCGTGTGTTAATGCGTGTGTTAATGCGTGTGTTAATGCGTGTGTTAATGCGTGCTTTAATGCGTGTTAATGCTTGTGTTAATGCTTGTGTTAATGCGTGTGTTAATGCGTGTGTTAATGCGTGTGTTAATGCGTGCTTTAATGCGTGTTAATGCTTGTGTTAATGCTTGTGTTAATGCTTGTGTTAATGCGTGCTTTAATGCGTGTGTTAATGCGTGTGTTAATGCGTGCTTTAATGCGTGTTAATGCTTGTGTTAATGCTTGTGTTAATGCGTGTGTTAATGCGTGTGTTAATGCGTGTGTTAATGCGTGTGTTAATGCGTGCTTTAATGCGTGTTAATGCTTGTGTTAATGCTTGTGTTAATGCGTGCTTTAATGCGTGCTTTAATGCGTGTGTTAATGCGTGTGTTAATGCGTGTGTTAATGCGTGTGTTAATGCGTGTGTTAATGCGTGTGTTAATGCTTGTGTTAATGCGTGTGTTAATGCGTGTGTTAATGCGTGTGTTAATGCGTGTGTTAATGCGTGTGTTAATGCGTGTGTTAATGCGTGTGTTAATGCGTGTGTTAATGCATGTGTTAATGCGTGTGTTAATGCGTGCTTTAATGCGTGTGTTAATGCGTGCTTTAATGCGTGTGTTAATGCGTGTGTTAATGCGTGTGTTAATGCGTGTGTTAATGCGTGTGTTAATGCGTGTGTTAATGCTTGTGTTAATGCGTGTGTTAATGCGTGTGTTAATGCGTGTGTTAATGCTTGTGTTAATGCGTGTGTTAATGCGTGTGTTAATGCGTGTGTTAATGCGTGTGTTAATGCGTGTGTTAATGCGTGTGTTAATGCGTGTGTTAATGCGTGCTTTAATGCGTGTTAATGCGTGTGTTAATGCGTGCTTTAATGCGTGTGTTAATGCGTGCTTTAATGCGTGTGTTAATGCGTGTGTTAATGCGTGTGTTAATGCGTGTGTTAATGCGTGTGTTAATGCGTGTGTTAATGCGTGTGTTAATGCTTGTGTTAATGCGTGTGTTAATGCGTGTGTTAATGCGTGTGTTAATGCTTGTGTTAATGCGTGTGTTAATGCGTGTGTTAATGCGTGTGTTAATGCGTGTGTTAATGCGTGTGTTAATGCGTGTGTTAATGCGTGTGTTAATGCGTGTGTTAATGCGTGCTTTAATGCGTGTTAATGCGTGTGTTAATGCGTGCGTTAATGCGTGCGTTAATGCGTGTGTTAATGCGTGTGTTAATGCGTGTGTTAATGCGTGTTTTAATGCGTGCGTTAATGCGTGCGTTAATGCGTGCGTTAATGCGTGCGTTAATGCTTGCGTTAATGCGTGTGTTAATGCGTGTGTTAATGCGTGTGTTAATGCGTGTGTTAATGCGTGCTTTAATGCGTGTTAATGCGTGTGTTAATGCGTGTGTTAATGCGTGTGTTAATGCGTGCTTTAATGCGTGTTAATGCGTGCTTTAATGCGTGTTAATACGTGCTTTAATGCGTGTTAATGCGTGTGTTAATGCGTGTGTTAATGCGTGTGTTAATGCGTGTGTTAATGCGTGTGTTAATGCGTGTGTTAATGCGTGTGTTAATGCGTGCTTTAATGCGTGTTAATGCGTGCTTTAATGCGTGTTAATGCGTGTGTTAATGCGTGTGTTAATGCGTGTGTTAATGCGTGTGTTAATGCTTGTGTTAATGCGTGTGTTAATGCGTGTGTTAGTGTGTGTGTTAATGCGTGCGTTAATGCGTGCGTTAATGCGTGCGTTAATGCGTGCGTTAATGCGTGCGTTAATGCGTGTGTTAATGCGTGTGTTAATGCGTGTGTTAATGCGTGTGTTAGTGTGTGTGTTAATGCGTGTGTTAATGTGTGTGCAGTGTTATTTAACCCTTGTCTACTGTTCAGATTGACTCCCCTTTGCTGATGTTGGGGCTGTTTTTGCCCTATTGTCTTCCATTATAATCACATTTATTGACTGCAAAGCCACGACAGCAGATACTCCTGCATTCTGGAGTGTTGCTGGTTTTCTCTGTTGTTATTAAGAGGGATAATGTGTCATTAATACTGTTGATCATCAGTGTGCAGCATTAACCCTTTAGATCGGCCTGTGCTGAAGAGTTTATTATCATTTAGGTGGAGTTTAGTGGAGTAAAACAGCAGATTATACAGAAGTGTGTGTGCAGAAATACACTCACTGTGTTTGCTAATGCATGAGTATCTGCTGTCATGGCTTTACAATCAATAAATGTGATTATAATGGAGGTCAATGGGGCAAAAACAGACACCAACATCACCAAAGAGGAGTCAATCTGAACACATTGTGTTGATCAGTTTAGGAACAATTTCAAAGCATTTCTCCAAAATATGCATCAAAATCAGATGGATCAGCAGAAATCATCACATTTGCTGAAACACAGAGAAAGATGAAGACTCTAAATCAGCCCAGAGAGGATAAAAGTGACCCAGCAGCACACAAGGGTTGATGATTGAGTTGTTGTTGTGTTAAACAGAGCTCGCTGAACTTCACCAACTCTAATTTCTTCACGGTGTGGGTGGACAGTGTGAGCTGTCAGGTGCTCTACATGAAGAGCGTCATTGGCTCTCAGCAGCTGGATAACGTCATCCACATTCAGCCCCTCAGCCAGAGACAGGTACAGTTCATCTAAATCTGGGTTGTTTTCACGGCTCCTTTCATTTTGATGCGACATACTTTTCAGCAGAATCAGTGCTGTACAGTCTTCATTAAATGATGAGGAGAGGAAGTGTTGCTAAAGGAAGCGAGGATTCATCATTTCACTTTATTCGACCTCTCGCATCCTTTCCTTGTGACCAGGATAGAAGAAGAAGAATGGAGAAGCTCTCAGTGTCTCTGATATACACTGGCTGTGTTTAGTGTGCATATTTCTTCATGTTTTTGATCAATCATTTACCGTACTCAGGATTGTGTAATGGATTGAAGTTTACTATGGAATGTGTTTGCTAATGCTGTAATAGTCTAAGTGTATCTCGAATGGGACTGAATTCAGTCACTGAGTGTAAAGTAATGAATTGTGGATGATGTTAACTGCTGCATCTGAATGTGTTTAAATGCAGGTCAACTTCACTGTCAAGATGGAGATCGGAGGAAGCCTCTCTTATGTTTAGTGAGTGTCAGATCAGTAACTCATCTTCATTAGTCTATATCTGCTCTTCTCTGACTTCATATTGTCCCACTCTGTTTTAGTGCTTTTTGCACAATGGCCACCATCAAGGTCCACAACATCGTGGTGTTCATGCAGTAAGTGTCTCATTGCCACATTCACACTTACTGTCTTCAGCTGTTGTCCTATATTGAAAGTTGGAGACGATGAATCAAGATCCCGAAACACTTCTAGAGCACCCTCTGCTGTTAAACACTAGCCTAGAGCGCCATCTGCTGTTAAACACTAGCCTAGAGCGCCATCTGCTGTTAAACACTAGCCTAGCCTAGAGCACCATCTGCTGTTAAACACTAGCCTAGCCTAGAGCACCATCTGCTGTTAAACACTAGCCTAGAGCACCCTCTGCTGTTAAACTCTAGCCTAGAGCGCCATCTGCTGTTAAACACTAGCCTAGCCTAGAGCACCATCTGCTGTTAAACACTAGCCTAGCCTAGAGCACCATCTGCTGTTAAACACTAGCCTAGAGCACCCTCTGCTGTTAAACTCTAGCCTAGAGCGCCATCTGCTGTTAAACACTAGCCTAGCCTAGAGCGCCCTCTGCTGTTAAACACTAGCCTAGCCTAGAGCACCATCTGCTGTTAAACACTAGCCTAGAGCACCCTCTGCTGTTAAACTCTAGCCTAGAGCGCCCTCTGCTGTTAAACACTAGCCTAGAGCGCCATCTGCTGTTAAACACTTGCCTAGAGCGCCCTCTGCTGTTAAACTCTAGTCTAGAGCGCCCTCTGCTGTTAAACATTAGCCTAGAGCACCCTCCACTATTAAACTCTAGCCTAGAGCGCCCTCTGTTGTTAAACACTAGCCTAGAGCGTCCTCTGCTGTTAAACACTAGCCTAGAGCGTCCTCTGCTGTTAAACACTAGCCTAGAGCGTCCTCTGCTGTTAAACACTAGCCCAGAACGTCCTCTGCTGTTAAACACTAGCCTAGGGCGCCCTCTGCTGTTAAACACTAGCCTAGAGCACCCTCTGCTGTTAAACACTAGCCTAGCCTAGAGCACCGTCTGCTGTTAAACACTAGCCCAGAGCGCCCTCTGCTGTAAAACACTTAACTAAAGCACCATCTGCTGGTAAACACTAGCCTAGCCTAGAGCACCCTCTGCTGTTCAACTCTAGCCTGGAGCGCCCCCTGCTGTTAAACATTAGCCTAGAGCATCCTCTGCTGTTAAACACTAGCCTAGAGCACCCTCTGCTGTTAAACAATAGCCTAGAGCGCCATCTGCTGTTAAACTCTAGCCTAGAGCGCCCTCTGCTGTTAAACTCTAGCCTAGAGCGCCCTCTGCTGTTAAACATTAGCCTAGAGCGCCCTCTGCTGTTAAACACTAGCCTAGAGTGCCCTCTGCTGTAAAACACTTACCTAGAGCGCCATCTGCTGTTAAACACTAGCCTAGAGCGCCCTCTGCTGTTAAACACTAGCCTAGCCTAGAGCACCATCTGCTGTTAAACACTAGCTTAGCCTAGAGCATCGTCTGCTGTTAAACACTTGCCTAGAGCACCCTCTGCTGTTAAACACTAGCCTAGAGTGCCCTCTACTGTTAAACACTAGCCTAGCCTAGAGCACCGTCTGCTGTTAAACACTAGCCTAGAGCGCCCTCTGCTGTTAAACACTAGCCTAGAGCGCCCTCTGCTGTTAAACACTAGCCTAGAGCGCCCTCTGCTGTTAAACACTAGCCTAGAGCGCCATCTGCTGTTAAACTCTAGCCTAGAGCGCCCTCTGCTGTTAAACATTAGCCTAGAGCGCCCTCTGATGTTAAACACTAGCCTAGAGTGTCCTCTGCTGTTAAACACTAGCCTAGAGCGTCCTCTGCTGTTAAACACTAGCCTAGTGCGCCCTCTGCTGTTAAACACTAGCCTAGAGCGCCCTCTGCTGTTAAACACTAGCCTAGAGCGCCCTCTGCTGTTAAACTCTAGTCTAGAGCGCCCTCTGCTGTTAAACCCTAGCCTAGAGCGCCGTCTGCTGTTAAACACTAGCCTAGAGCGCCCTCTGCTGTTAAACACCAGCCTAGAGCGCCCTCTGCTGTTAAACACTTGCCTAGAGCGCCGTCTGCTGTTAAACACTAGTCTGAGCGTCCTCTGCTGTTAAACACTAGCCTAGAGCGCCGTCTGCTGTCAAACACTAGCCTAGAGCGCCCTCTGCTGTTAAACACTAGCCTAGAGCGCCGTCTGCTGTTAAACACTTGCCTAGAGTGCCGTCTGCTGTTAAATACTAGTCTAGAGCGCCCTCTGCTGTTAAACACTAGTCTAGAGCGCCCTCTGCTGTTAAACACTAGTCTAGAGCGCCCTCTGCTGTTAAACTCTAGTCTAGAGCGCCCTCTGCTGTTAAACACTAGCCTAGAGCGTCCTCTGCTGTTAAACACTAGCCTAGAGCGTCCTCTGCTGTTAAACACTAGCCTAGAGCGCCGTCTGCTGTTAAACACTAGCCTAGAGCGCCGTCTGCTGTTAAACACTTGCCTAGAGCGCCCTCTGCTGTTAAACACTAGTCTAGAGCGCCCTCTGCTGTTAAACTCTAGTCTAGAGCGCCCTCTGCTGTTAAACACTAGCCTAGAGCGTCCTCTGCTGTTAAACACTAGCCTAGAGCGTCCTCTGCTGTTAAACACTAGCCTAGAGCGCCGTCTGCTGTTAAACACTAGCCCAGAGCGCCCTCTGCTGTAAAACACTTAACTAAAGCACCATCTGCTGGTAAACACTAGCCTAGCCTAGAGCACCCTCTGCTGTTTAACTCTAGCCTGGAGCGCCCCCTGCTGTTAAACATTAGCCTAGAGCATCCTCTGCTGTTAAACACTAGCCTAGAGCACCCTCTGCTGTTAAACAATAGCCTAGAGCGCCATCTGCTGTTAAACTCTAGCCTAGAGCGCCCTCTGCTGTTAAACTCTAGCCTAGAGCGCCCTCTGCTGTTAAACTCTAGCCTAGAGCGCCCTCTGCTGTTAAACATTAGCCTAGAGCGCCCTCTGCTGTTAAACACTAGCCTAGAGTGCCCTCTGCTGTAAAACACTTACCTAGAGCGCCATCTGCTGTTAAACACTAGCCTAGAGCGCCCTCTGCTGTTAAACACTAGCCTAGCCTAGAGCACCATCTGCTGTTAAACACTAGCTTAGCCTAGAGCATCGTCTGCTGTTAAACACTTGCCTAGAGCACCCTCTGCTGTTAAACACTAGCCTAGAGTGCCCTCTACTGTTAAACACTAGCCTAGCCTAGAGCACCGTCTGCTGTTAAACACTAGCCTAGAGCGCCCTCTGCTGTTAAACACTAGCCTAGAGCGCCATCTGCTGTTAAACTCTAGCCTAGAGCGCCCTCTGCTGTTAAACATTAGCCTAGAGCGCCCTCTGCTGTTAAACACTAGTCTAGAGCGCCCTCTGCTGTTAAACTCTAGTCTAGAGCGCCCTCTGCTGTTAAACACTAGCCTAGAGCGTCCTCTGCTGTTAAACACTAGCCTAGAGCGTCCTCTGCTGTTAAACACTAGCCTAGAGCGCCGTCTGCTGTTAAACACTAGCCCAGAGCGCCCTCTGCTGTAAAACACTTAACTAAAGCACCATCTGCTGGTAAACACTAGCCTAGCCTAGAGCACCCTCTGCTGTTTAACTCTAGCCTGGAGCGCCCCCTGCTGTTAAACATTAGCCTAGAGCATCCTCTGCTGTTAAACACTAGCCTAGAGCACCCTCTGCTGTTAAACAATAGCCTAGAGCGCCATCTGCTGTTAAACTCTAGCCTAGAGCGCCCTCTGCTGTTAAACTCTAGCCTAGAGCGCCCTCTGCTGTTAAACTCTAGCCTAGAGCGCCCTCTGCTGTTAAACATTAGCCTAGAGCGCCCTCTGCTGTTAAACACTAGCCTAGAGTGCCCTCTGCTGTAAAACACTTACCTAGAGCGCCATCTGCTGTTAAACACTAGCCTAGAGCGCCCTCTGCTGTTAAACACTAGCCTAGCCTAGAGCACCATCTGCTGTTAAACACTAGCTTAGCCTAGAGCATCGTCTGCTGTTAAACACTTGCCTAGAGCACCCTCTGCTGTTAAACACTAGCCTAGAGTGCCCTCTACTGTTAAACACTAGCCTAGCCTAGAGCACCGTCTGCTGTTAAACACTAGCCTAGAGCGCCCTCTGCTGTTAAACACTAGCCTAGAGCGCCATCTGCTGTTAAACTCTAGCCTAGAGCGCCCTCTGCTGTTAAACATTAGCCTAGAGCGCCCTCTGATGTTAAACACTAGCCTAGAGCGTCCTCTGCTGTTAAACACTAGCCTAGAGCGTCCTCTGCTGTTAAACACTAGCCTAGTGCGCCCTCTGCTGTTAAACACTAGCCTAGAGCGCCCTCTGCTGTTAAACACTAGCCTAGAGCGCCGTCTGCTGTTAAACACTAGCCTAGAGCGCCCTCTGCTGTTAAACACCAGCCTAGAGCGCCCTCTGCTGTTAAACACTAGCCTAGAGCGCCGTCTGCTGTTAAACACTAGCCTAGAGCGCCGTCTGCTGTTAAACACTAGTCTAGAGCGTCCTCTGCTGTTAAACACTAGCCTAGAGCGCCGTCTGCTGTTAAACCCTAGCCTAGAGCGCCGTCTGCTGTTAAACACTAGTCTGAGCGTCCTCTGCTGTTAAACACTAGCCTAGAGCGCCGTCTGCTGTCAAACACTAGCCTAGAGCGCCCTCTGCTGTTAAACACTAGCCTAGAGCGCCGTCTGCTGTTAAACACTTGCCTAGAGTGCCGTCTGCTGTTAAACACTAGTCTAGAGCGCCCTCTGCTGTTAAACACTAGTCTAGAGCGCCCTCTGCTGTTAAACACTAGTCTAGAGCGCCCTCTGCTGTTAAACACTAGTCTAGAGCGCCCTCTGCTGTTAAACTCTAGTCTAGAGCGCCCTCTGCTGTTAAACACTAGCCTAGAGCGTCCTCTGCTGTTAAACACTAGCCTAGAGCGTCCTCTGCTGTTAAACACTAGCCTAGAGCGCCGTCTGCTGTTAAACACTTGCCTAGAGCGCCGTCTGCTGTTAAACACAAGCCTAGAGCGCCGTCTGCTGTTAAACACAAGCCTAGAGCGCCCTCTGCTGTTAAACACTAGTCTAGAGCGCCCTCTGCTGTTAAACTCTAGTCTAGAGCGCCCTCTGCTGTTAAACACTAGCCTAGAGCGTCCTCTGCTGTTAAACACTAGCCTAGAGCGCCGTCTGCTGTTAAACACTAGCCTAGAGCGCCCTCTGCTGTAAAACACTTACCTAGAGCGCCATCTGCTGTTAAACACTAGCCTAGAGCGCCCTCTGCTGTTAAACACTAGCCTAGCCTAGAGCACCATCTGCTGTTAAACACTAGCTTAGCCTAGAGCATCGTCTGCTGTTAAACACTTGCCTAGAGCACCCTCTGCTGTTAAACACTAGCCTAGAGTGCCCTCTACTGTTAAACACTAGCCTAGCCTAGAGCACCGTCTGCTGTTAAACACTAGCCTAGAGCGCCCTCTGCTGTTAAACACTAGCCTAGAGCGCCATCTGCTGTTAAACTCTAGCCTAGAGCGCCCTCTGCTGTTAAACACTAGCCTAGAGCGCCCTCTGATGTTAAACACTAGCCTAGAGCGCCCTCTGCTGTTAAACACTAGCCTAGAGCGTCCTCTGCTGTTAAACACTAGCCTAGAGCGCCCTCTGCTGTTAAACACTAGCCTAGAGCGCCCTCTGCTGTTAAACACTAGCCTAGAGCGCCGTCTGCTGTTAAACACTAGCCTAGAGCGCCGTCTGCTGTTAAACACTAGTCTAGAGCGTCCTCTGCTGTTAAACACTAGCCTAGAACGCCGTCTGCTGTTAAACCCTAGCCTAGAGCGCCGTCTGCTGTTAAACACTAGTCTGAGCGTCCTCTGCTGTTAAACACTAGCCTAGAGCGCCGTCTGCTGTCAAACACTAGCCTAGAGCGCCCTCTGCTGTTAAACACTAGCGTAGAGCGCCGTCTGCTGTTAAACACTTGCCTAGAGTGCCGTCTGCTGTTAAACACTAGTCTAGAGCGCCCTCTGCTGTTAAACACTAGTCTAGAGCGCCCTCTGCTGTTAAACACTAGTCTAGAGCGCCCTCTGCTGTTAAACTCTAGTCTAGAGCGCCCTCTGCTGTTAAACTCTAGTCTAGAGCGCCCTCTGCTGTTAAACACTAGCCTAGAGCGCCCTCTGCTGTTAAACACTAGCCTAGAGCGTCCTCTGCTGTTAAACACTAGCCTAGAGCGCCGTCTGCTGTTAAACACTTGCCTAGAGCGCTGTCTGCTGTTAAACACAAGCCTAGAGCGCCCTCTGCTGTTAAACACTAGTCTAGAGCGCCCTCTGCTGTTAAACTCTAGTCTAGAGCGCCCTCTGCTGTTAAACACTAGCCTAGAGCGTCCTCTGCTGTTAAACACTAGCCTAGAGCGCCGTCTGCTGTTAAACACTAGCCTAGAGCGCCGTCTGCTGTTAAACACTAGCCTAGAGCGCCGTCTGCTGTTAAACACTTGCCTAGAGCGCCGTCTGCTGTTAAACACCAGCCTAGAGCGCCCTCTGCTGTTAAACACTTGCCTAGAGCGCCGTCTGCTGTTAAACACTAGTCTAGAGCGCCGTCTGCTGTTAAACACTAGCCTAGAGCGTCCTCTGCTGTTAAACACTAGCCTAGAGCGCCGTCTGCTGTTAAACACTAGTCTAGAGCGCCGTCTGCTGTTAAACACTAGCCTAGAGCATCCTCTGCTGTTAAACACTAGCCTAGAGCGTCCTCTGCTGTTAAACACTAGTCTAGAGCGCGAGCACCTCAGAGTGCTGTCTGCTGTTAAGCAGGATTAGATGAGAAGCTGAAGTCTGAGGTGATGTGAACACATGTTTAATCATTTAGGTGGAAGAGACGAACTGACTTTAGATGTTTTTTATCAGGGTTATATCTTCTAAAGCTGAATTTTGTCTGTCTTGGAGACTCTAGATTACAGATATCCTTAACTAACCGGCTGAAACATCCATCTAAATGCATTTTAATTTGACGGGACCTTATATTCCCCCAGGACCTCAGTGAAAACCTCCTACATGGTGCGAGCGGGACAGAATACTGTGGAAACGTACCGCTACATCGACTGCGGCTCAAACTCCACCGTGCACCAGCCATCAGGACTCGCCTGGTCTAATCCTCAGAACAGGAAACTGCTCCGGTGAAAACTCAGCCGGTAGACGCTCGCTCATTTCTCAGAAGGCAGCTCCGTTTCTTTAATTCCTGTCACTGTACAAGCTCAACACATCCAATATGATGTACAATATCACTGAATCATCTCTCAGAACAGATGCTGCAGTCTCTCACTTACAGTTTAGTATTGTTTCTTGCCCAAATATCTAAAAATCCAGAAGCATTTTCCACACTAGCGCTAAATATAGTGCTGTTTTCAGGAATAAAGAGTCAAAATGCAGAGAGATTTTCATTAAAACAAGCCGAATAATCTGACAGTGAGGGAAGCAGAATACTCTTGATGTTATTCCTGATACAAGATCATTTCACTTCCTCCATCGTCAGATTATTCTGTTTGTTTTAAGGAGAATCTCTCTTGATTTTGACTCATTTCTTAAAGCAAGACTATATTTCATACTGGATTAGGAAATGCTTCTTGATTTTCGAGTTTGTAGATGTTTTGATGAGTGTTTGGACTAGACACTGAAAGTTAGAGCAGCATGTGTTGCGGTGTGCTGGAAAGGGCTCTGCTTTCTTTGATCAGTTCTCTATCTTTATCATCTATTAGAGTTGCTGTACATGTATTTTTGCAGTGATTTGACCAAAAGGGAGATTTTATTTAATTATTGACAGGATGCTGATGTGCACTTTAAAATACCTCTTGCTTTAATTTATTTGATGTTTTTTCTTATTGCCAAATGTCTGTCCTTGTGTTTGTAATGTCCAGTAATTCATCTGATTTCTGCTGATTATTCTCTTATTTATTCATTTTGTTCTGCAGTAAAACTCAACTTGAATTCATCAGTGACCAATAATCAGGATATATAGACTGAAATTATACATATTCCTGGCAGATTCTGACTTAAAGTTACTTTTACTGACCCAGGCTTCTCCTACAAAAGAGTTAGAGGATGTGCAAGAGGCGTCATTCTGGAAAAATATACTTCATAGCTTTTATTTACATTTGAACAAAAACTTTAGGTCAGAATTTGCCATGGGTGTGAATAGTTTGAGGTTTGACTGTAAGGTGTAGATGAAGTGTGTGGTCTCAGTGTTAATGTGTGTGTTTCTGATGTGAAGTGCAGATGTCTGCTGTGCGACGCTGAAGCTGAGGAGGAACCTGTTACACAGCAGTGACCTGCTTCAGTCTCTGCATCTGTGATGCCATGATAATGTGTTTCACCAAGCTTTAATTGATCAAATGCTGACAGATGCTCCTCATTGACAGAAGCAGCTTTACTGAGGCACTTTCTTTCTCTGCAGATTTGGCTGAATAATTGACTTTTAGTCGTGTTTTTCATTGTCGGACATGTTTAAAAATAAGCTGATAATAAAGTGTTGGATTGAGTTTTTGCTCTGAATGCCGTGTCAGAATATGGTTTTGTTAATATGTTTGGATGAAATGTTTTTCTGTTTTTATTTATTCCATTTTTAAATTTTCCCACCTGCCAGATTAACCTCAACAGTACAGGCCTCAGTTCAGTGTGATC